CAATACAATAGAAAGCTTGTAAGTAAAAATCAACTAAAAGTCACAAAAACGTCAGCAAAACAATGAGAAGATTTTCAAATTAATATGATCATTTCTCAATGTTGATATGACATGAATCTATTAGATTATAAGTAAAAGGATCTGATAATAAATGAAGTAAATATTAAATGAAGAAACCTACATCAACATCATTCACATGAGCCCAAAGGAAGATTCTATTCAATCTTTTATAGAAAAATAACCATATGCTTTATAGCAAAAATCAAAGTAACATCATTTTTGATCATATGTAAATGTACAAATTATTCTACTACATAAAGGCTTTCTCTATCAAGTCCTAACATAACTTGGGTGGTGAGTAGAGAAAAAGTAAGACTAAGGTATGAGGTACTGAGAATTGTATTTGACATGTTCAAGGTGTTATTATATGAGGATAAGTACACTTAGACTTAAGCACATGGTGCTGTGAGTTAGGAACTATCAATAAGGGGTGAGATCCCTATGATGAGGGTTGAGTTTGTGAAATCAATTATATTTATGTTGAGAAAAAATTAAAATTCATAATAGATATCCTTCAGTATTAGATGTAGCCTAAGCAAAGGTCAATTAATATAAAATCTCCATGTCCATCAAAATATCATGCATTTAATTCTCCAATAATCTCCATCTTTTGTTGATGACAAAGCTATACATACAAGTCTCAAAGATCATCTTAACCTATTGTTTAATTTTGAATTATTTAATATGATTGTCATAATATTCGTGATTTGATGTGTTAATGATATAGTATTAATATTATAAATTCAATCAACATATTTCAAATAGTTGAAATTCGAGCAAGGCATTGAATTCAAACGTTAGTAGAACTATTATTGTGCTCATTTTTTCCCTTTCTCTTGTTGTTCTTCATTTCTCCATAGTTTTTCTAATTGTTTCCTTTTTCTTCACAGTCTCTATTTTAACCACAATGAATGTTCATTGTTCCCCCTTGATCATAAAACTTCTTCATTACAAGACTTGTACTTTTTCTCTCCCTTTTTGTCAACATAAAAAAAGGATATGTAATATTTCAACCTACTCTAATAATGATACTCCATTAATAATAAAGTCTTTAGGTTAGGGAAATTATATTAATGGGGATCAAGTGATAGAGAAATTAATGAAACAATGGTTGGAGTAGGATGTTCAATTTCAAAATATGTTGAGCTCTGATTGAAGAAGATTTTTCCAACTAAAATGATAAACTAGAGCTTGGTTAGCAATGATTATATGAGTTTCTATATCTATGTGATGAAGAAAATTTTTGGAGGAATTCAAGAAAAAAATATTTTGAGTTCTGAGTGAATATAATAGGTTCATGTATCTTTGTTGGGTAGAAAATATTTATGAGTACTTGACACAAAAAGAACTAGGTCCTTGCAAAGATGAATTTGAGGTATTTAAGTGGTTGATCCCATGGAAATCAATAAAGAAATTAAAAAATCTTGGAGAGAAATTCTTTGTAAGACTGGCTGTAGCCAAGTAAGGGATGAATTAGTATAAAAATCATAGTGTTTTGGTGCAAAAGAGTTGAGAGCACACTTGTGTTAACACATCTAGTAATATCTATACATAAGTATAAGTAAAAAAATCAGCAAAAATCCTAAAATCATAATTTACCTCCTCTATTGTGTTTGACTTTGCCCTATAGTTCCAATAGAGTTCACTTGTTAAAGTATACTATTTACTCAAATACGTAGTTTCTACATGTCAACCTCTCAATCTTCAATTCTTCTTTTTTTATGATCTTTTATATTCAATTTTAATTGAAGTTACCAGACTTGACCATTTGATTTCACTTCACTTTTTATACACATACTCATTTGACATGTTATCATCAAGATAAACTTCCTAAAATAAATATCTATTATATTTTTTTGTTAATTTAGTTCTCACAATAGCTTCGAAAAACCTGTTTCGTGATATATAAAAATAATATGAAGTAGATAAGAAATACAACACAATATTTCAATCATCATTGATAAAATATGTATGAATTATCTACTTTTAGAAATGTGATGATACATTAATCTTATACATCATGTGCCAACATATACTTAAATCTTTTATGACACCATTTGACACCATCTTTCGGTTATAGATTTTTCTTCAATTGGTAACTCTTTATTCTTAAATTTTCTTAAGATAAAAAAATAACTTAATCTAAGGTTGAAAACCTTAGTTTGAATTATTAGAACTGAAATCATAATAATTAGACAAAGAATTCAATATAATTAGTTTGTTGAATATATTGAATGTTTAATTCAAATAAATATATAAATTAAAATTTTATTGATCTAAAATATGAGATAAAACATTTTAAAAAATTCATTTGTAATCATTAAAACCAAAGGGATTAACAAATAATTGTTTCATGTTCAAAAAATACTAATATATAGATAAAATGATCATTTCATATAAAAATATAGGTACAATTATAAGACTTTAATGTTGATATTGTTTTTCTTAACACTTGACAGAATTTTAAGTTTAATTTGAGATCGAATGCATGTATTTTTTTATTCCAATTTTTGAAAGAAAATGGATCTAGTCACTCGTGTTGAAAGACAATCTTGAAATTATGGATGCACTAAAAGAAAAAAATGAGAAAAGATAGCTCATTGAATAACCTAAACTAGCTATTGAGAGTTCATAAGTAATCATGGGTTAAGTAATTATAGCTAATTATCATCAATTATTTGGCTCCATAAAAAACTAATACCTATTCTTAGTTTGACATTTGGTACTCTACCTAATTACATAATATATTAAATCCTATTGAAACATTTATTGTAATAAACCACTATACAAGAACCCTAAAGCCTCAACCTTTCCATCTTCCATGACTTTCCTTAAGAAACATTGTGTTTAAACTGTATAATTTATTTTATTCATTTTTTAAAAAGAATTTGGTGACAAAGTACTATTAGAAGTATCACATTCACAAAACCTGATTTTAAAGTTTTAGAATGCAGGTAAAATATCAAATCATAAGTCACCAAGAGTTATGAATCTAATACAGACCTAAGCTTAATTCATGATGTTCACCCTTTGTACTCACATGTTCTAGAATGTAAATTAGGTGTCCTTTAAAGGGTAAAGTAAGTTAAGGAGTAAAAGTAGAATATGAAGAACTTATGAATTTTTAATGTCATATTCAAACTATGTAACGTAGATATATAGTGGTTAAGCCAACCTATCGTACTCCACTCCTAAAAGGCCTCATTTAAGTTCTACCAAATCAAAATGGCACAAAGGCTTTCAACTAGCATCCACTAGAATTCATATCTCTAGATAAGTTTTTTTATATTCAAAACTCTAGGGTTCCAACTAGATTGATAGCTAGCTAATCTCTTTTAGATTGACAATTCTAGATCACCCTAAGTACTAGAAACACCTAACAATAATTTTAGACACTAGATTACTCTTACAATCTAGCTTGTCACTTCTAGTAACACAATTCTTTGAACCAAAGATGTGGAAGCGCTGTGAAGTGTCTTGGTGCTTGAATGTTTGAGGAAAAATTGTTGAATATGATATTTAAATGATTTTTCCTTTTCTTGTGCATTAAAAAGTATGTTTCTTATACAATAATTGTTTTATCTTGAAATTTTGAAATTTTCGACAATCAAGATGTGCAAAGAAATAATCACCAGTTATCTAGGGTGCAGTCCAACAACTAGTAAGGGATAATTCTTTTTTCATATTGTGACAACCATAATTCTTTGTTATTATGACCTTTTTTTCATATTGCTCAATGCCCCATAATTTGTTTTTTGTAATTGAGTCAATTGAGTTACCTCACTTTTGCTATGAAGAAATACATGAAAAATTATAAAAATAAATTAGCTCTAAAAATTATGAATAATATTAGAGAATTTGAAACATAGTTAAGCATTTTCGAGGGTCACAAAAGTGCTTGAATATTTTGTAATGTAAAATTAGTGATTTATCATTGAATACTTTTCTTCAATTTGATGTTGATTTCCTCGAGGGTTTAAATCAGATTAAATGTACTCCATTAGGTGAGTCAAACATTTTCCTTAGTCAACAAGAAATAATACTTCTTTAAAAGTATATCCATGACATGTATGTGCAGGTTATGAACATCCATTGGAGCTTCCATATGAAAAAGACAAAGAATTGGCTTTCATAAATCCTCAAACTTGCAAATGGACATTTGCTGGGTACCAGCACCAAGCTGCTTAACAACCATTTGGCATGATGAGTTTTCCTGATTATACCTCACAAATAACCAATATTTTGTTTATTATTCTTTAAACAACGGGATTTTGGTAAGAAGGGATTGCAAACATGACATTTTTAACTAGGTAGAAGTTTGCAAGGATCATCTATTGATAGAATTACTCAATTGAGGCTAAATACACTAACTTGGCAACATATGTTGGCAGGGATTGCTGAATCCTCAAAATTTTTTATTACTTGGTTGTTAACCATGGTTGAATGCATGAAGTAGAGTCAAAAAAGTGGTCATCTTGAAGGTTTTTGGGCTACTTAAAGCCTAAGAAAGAGGATATAATAGCTTTTCTCTTCAATGGCTTAATTGGGGCTTCAACCTGGAAGGTCCAAGCTTCTAAAAGAGGTATGGAGGTAAATTAATCAATCTTCTTTGACTATCGAAGCTATCTTGGGCTAATGGTAAGCAATTTAATCATTACATAATAAAACTATTTTTAATTTCCATAAATAATGAGATGGTGGTAAACATGAGAGGATTCCGCCGACGCCGCAGAGGAAAGAACTGCACTGTGATTATGACGGCGACAATTTTCGCCGGAGGTTTACTACAATGAATGGTAGGAAATAAGAATAAATAATGAATGTCTCAGAAGGAACCCCCCAAGGGATCGCCGCCGGATTCTAAAATTCCCGGCGAGGAGGACCTCGAGGCTCCGCCAACCCGAAAAATTCATGTACCGGGTTGCCCAGTCTTCGGCAGGTCAAAAGTCCCATAGGAAGGAGGACTGAGCGTAGAAAGAAGCACCGCCGTGCTCCTCCATGAAATCCGGCAAGCCTGGCGGCGCCGCCAGCGTCGGGAGGAACTCGCAGGGGAATTCGTCGATCATGTCGTAGAAGCCCGGCCAGTCGGCGCCGCCGTGCTCCGTCCAGGTGGACCCCGCGGAGTCGAGAAAGGACCAGTCCAGCGACTCCTCGCCGCCGCTCTCCGCCGTTCCCCCGGACGTCGTCCACTGCTCCGGCGACTCCGGCAACTCCAGCCCCGACTGAGCCCCCACGCCGCCGTCTGCCGGCGGCGCCGCCGGCGGGGCTTCGTTCGCGAATCGCGAGGCGACGGCCTGCACCTCCGCCGGCGGGAGCGAGCGGCGGACGGGGATGTCGGGGAGATTCTGCGGGAAGTTGAAGGCGCCGCCTTTCCGGCCGCGGAGGCACATCACGGCGGCGTCGAAGGCCCGCGCCGCCTTCTCTGGCGTGTCGTACGATCCCAGCCATATCCTCTCCCGGCTGTTGGGAAGCCGAATCTCCGACACCCACTTCCCCCACTTCCTTTTCCTCACTCCCTTGTACTTGCTCCTCCCCTCTCCCCCCTCCCCCCTCTTCATCACCATCTCTGTCTTCATCTCCATCTCTCTCTGTCTCTCTGTTTCTCTATCTATCAATCTATCCATCTATTTCTCTCTATCTATCTCTCTTCTTCCTCCGTGGAAGTGGCGGCGCTCGTCGAGTGAAGGGGAGAGACTCTGCAGAGAACGACTGTTGAGAGGTGGATGAGGCCGATGACGGCTCCGACCGCTATATAGCGGACCGGCAGCTCCAACGCGGGTCGACTGGAAGCTCCCCCCAGAAACCGGCACGTGGAGAGGTCAAAGCCAGTAGTACGGACACGCGCTCGTCTTGCAGCAGTAAAGGCTGACTCTCGTGTGGGAAACGTGGAGCATCATTGCGGGGCCCAACGCTCTCTCTCTCTCACCGCGCTTTCATGGACAAAAAAAATATATGTGGGGCCCAGATAACCATCCAATAATATGAATACCTGAATTTTCCCGCTATTCGAAAGCTCTCTCTCATGGGAAAATACGACATTCATTAACGCATCCGTCAGCTGGTAGCCACGTCATAGAGCACGTTGCGAAAGAGCTTGATTTTTTTAATCGAAAAAGGTCCCTTTATTTATTTATTTATTCCACAGAGAGAGAGAGAGAAGAGAGAGAGAGAGAGAGAGAGGCTGTGATGATTATGACGTGAATAACCCGTTGAGTTTTATAATTCGGTATGTCCGCGGGAAAATATTTTCCAGAAGTTAGTCATTTTCTCGACAAGCGGGCTGTCGTCTTCTACGGTGCGGGTAAACAGCAAGTAAGACTGTACACCCTAGGGTCAAATGTCCATGAGCTTTAGAGACTTTCAGACACGCGACTCATGTAATCCTCGCACGTGCCTTTCCTGGGCGGCGCCGCTGGCAGCACCCTTAACACAGCGAGAGCGAGAGAGAGAGAGAGAGAGGGAGGGAGAGGCTTGGTAATACATAGGGAGTATGAAGATGGGTAATCCACGGAATCTCTCTCTCTCTCTCTCTCTCTCCCTCCGCGTACATGAATCCGCCCAAGTATCTCTCTACGTACACTCTAGGAGAATTGGTTTCTCTTCGTTTACGTACGTGAGTATACTTGGAAAAATATATGTTCACAAAGAAACGTTTCCAGAGAGAGAGATAGAGAGGGAGGAATAATATCTTTGTATCCGCGTCGTGCATGAAGATGACCTGCGGGGAATGGAGAGAGGAGAGAGAGAGAGAGTGCGGCTCCGAAGTCAATGTCACCGCGGAGAACCCAACGACCCCCCATGTTCAATCAAATTATAATTATCTAATATAGTAATCTTATTACATGCGTTCACTCAGTCTCACTAACTACTTGGCTACCTAAATGCTACCTAAATACAGCGATGGTTTCTCTCTCTGACCGAGACCGAATTATCGTTGCGTTATTCAACGGATTATGGCGGCGCTAACCTCCTCTTCTCTGACCACTGGCCCTCCATACCACCATGTTAGGATGTGAACGGCGTCTCTCTGCCACTGAATGCCCCTCGCAGTGGAGACGAGAAAACGTGCTTTTACCGGAAAACCCACGTGCTCTCCCTCTTTCTCTCTCTCTCTCTCTCTCTCTCTCTCTCTCTCTCTCTCTCTCTCTCTCTCTCTCTCTCTCTCTCTCTCTCTCTCTCTATCTAACCTTCCATCTGCGCCTCTCTGCTTTGGTCAAAGCTTGTAAGCTGAAACTATGAGTAGATGAAGAAAACATGGCCTCGGGGTCCTCCCAGGATCCTTGGAACTGTAGAAGTCAAGATCGGATGGCACACGTGCGAGCTGCTTGACGGCCTCCCTAAATGGGGCTTTCCGGGGAATATTCTTTCAGGCCAATGGTGCTAATTTATCTGAATATTTCTACAAATTTAGTATTTTTAAATACTAATTATCATCTCCATTTCTCTAGGCATCCCCAGTTTCGAAAAATTTCCAAACTTAGAAGAAGCAACAAATATCCAGAAAATATTCGGTCAACATGTTGGGCTCTGTCGTAATTTTCACGGTCCATCCAGCGAGCCATGCCCCTCTTTTGGCTGTCTCCTCCTTCCTAGAAACGTAGAGGCTGGCGCTGTCGTGGGGCCTCAGTCTGACTAAACGTGGGTCAACTGTCAACCTAAGTTGCAGGAAACCCGGATTGGGAGCTACGATTGGGAGTTGATCAGCTGCAATAAATCCATTTAATATGATTATAATCTATATACCGGAAATAAGTGTGCAGAGGCCCAACCAACAGCAATGAGACCTAGTCAAGTCCACGCGCCATATGGATGCCAAGAGGCAGTCCTAGGCAGTGCCCCGAGGGCACCCAAACGGGTCCCACGAACAGCTGAAGGGAGACGTCAGCAGTTTCGTCAAGAAGATATCGACAGGTCAACGACGGAATTGTTCTATTCTAGAACTTTCCGTAGTGTGTGCTACCCCTCTCCTTAAAGAAGGCTACTGTTCCACCGGCAAACCACAGAGAAGAAGAAAATATGTGAGGAGAAGAGCGGACTCCATGTTTTTAGGAAAGAATCAAGGGAAATGATAATTAACTATCAGGTTCCTGATCAGGGCAGCTTGTTTTTTTAAGATCTTTTTTAGTCAACTCAGTTTAGTTCGGAAGCTTCGGCGGGAAGAACAGAACCAGTTCTAGAAAGATTCAGCAGCCATGACATCATGGTAATAAGAAGGTAAAACCAGAAACAGAAAACAAGGAATCATGATGCCCAATAGAAGACCTGCTGGATCCATTGGGCAAACTCCAATGCGTTCTTCGAATCAGAGCTCTGTTTCTGCTCACCACCACCAACAGTACAGAATATTTCTCCATTTGGCAATGAAAGGCTTGTTATATTTCATTGGGTGCTTGCTACATCAAGACTGATTGGAGTGACAGGTCATAGAGGAATAGTTATATATCAGCTGGTAATTAATCCCAAGTATATATATTTTTTCAGAATTAAGAGCTTATTTTTAAGTTTTTTCCCCATTTATCTTCTTCAGGGCGATGGGTTTTTTCTGCTTAATGAGATCATAAGAGGTAGGTGCTGTACATCATTTAGACTAAAGAACAAAAGATCTCAGGCATCTTACTCGCAGATAGAAAGCACAGAAAAGTTCCACACGCAGAGAACAAAAGAAACAGCCATTTACTGAATGAAGAACACGCCTTGAGAGAATTGATGGCCATTCCCAAAATAGATAAGGCCTGTGACAAGGCAATGAACCAAGACCATGCATATCTAGAGAGAGAGAGAGATCAGCTGTGAAGACGAAGATCAAAAACAGTGAACAAAGACTCGTGAAAAGGGATAAAGATGAACGAATAGATTTTGCCCGAAGTGTCCTATATCCTGGTTTGATGATCAGCTGATCTGTACTCACAAATGTCCTCCATTAATGGAAATAATAGCACGATCAGCTGATCTGTGATCACAAAGTGGTGAATAAACCCATAGCTCCATAGGTTGTCTGCATAAATACGAATCAACATCAGGTCGAACAGCTACTCATCAAAATAATTGCGAAATTTATTGAATAAAATCAAATCTGTATCAGAAGAGCAACCTGATTGAGCTACTTCAACACATGCCAAAGAGAAAATGTTTGCAGGCATAAGAACTAACCGATATCAAGCACGAATCTTACCACAGCTCAGATTCTTATCGAAAAAATAAAAACCATCAAGCTTTTTTTTTTCATCTGCCATTAAAAAAATGGCGCATATAATTTCCTGGGATCAGATAAAATGTAAAATGCACAAAAAAAAGCAGAAATTCAAGAAATATATAAACAACTTAATCTTTTTCTCAATAAGCTCGCATCCTTGAACTAGGCCAGTGCCCTGACACTCCTACCAGAGGAGATCATCTGTAGCTTGAAGATGAATGTTACCCACAAACCTGGATCTGTTCAGAGGACAAAGAGCTTATGAGAAACTAACAATCCTCACTAGATTAAAAAAAAACAAAAAAACTAAGCAAAGAAAAGGAAAAAAAAAAAAAAAAAAAAACCTGGTTCTTCAGTACACAGAAATGACTAGAATTCTAAGGAAATGACCATAATCAGAGCATTTTCCGAAGTGGAAGAAGGGAACAGGGAAGGATCTCAAGCAGGAAGAGCAAAAGGTACCGAAAAAAATGAAAACGTCTCCCACTGAGGCATGTACTGTAACCTCATGGTTCAACGCATGAAAAAGTTTCCCACACTGCGGCATGCGCTTGAATCATATCCAGGAGGCAAGTTTCTGCCTGGAATCTGCTCTATATGCAAGATACAAAATCTGAAAAAGGCATAAAACGGAAAAAAATAACAAAATAACCCTAAAATGATTAGGGTTACCAGAGCGTATAGCCTGAAAAAAAATAAAAGAAAAAACAGGAGCAGCTGTTGTTCAAGACTAAGAGGAGAGAGGAGCACCTTTCTATAGTATGAAGCTGTTGAATAAAAAAAATTATGAATAGAAGAAGTGGTTATAGAAGAATAAGAAATATTTAGAATGAGATATTGCTCGGTGACAATGTCAACGAGCTCAAATGAGCAAAGACAAAAGCTGTTCGAGCGGTAGTAGATATCCCTTGGCGCCAACGTTCTTACTCGCGTTGAAGACATCTAACAGAGACCCTGCCTGGGCTTGGCGATCGCACCATAAGCAGAGATCTTGGGAACGAACAAAGAAAAATGGCCCAGAAAACTAACAGGGTACCGATCGGCCGTTCCTCTCTTGGGCCCTGCCGCCGCTGCAGCCTCAGTTTCTGCCGACGAATCATTTTCCCTGCCCGACCGACGCCCCAGATGAGAGAGAGAGAGAGAGAGGACAAAGAAGGCTATCAGAAAGTGACGAGAGAGATCTTCTTGCCAGTTTCTGACGGCGTTCGACAACTAATCTATCGATTATGGCGGCGGCGGTTGTCTCACCCCCAATACTCCTCCCTCTCTCTCTCTTTCTTTCTCTCTCTCTCTGTAACCTGTAATCTTGCAGGGGGGGGTTGGGGGGAGGGGGGGGGGGGTTGATAACAGATGATAACAGAGTATTGAACATAGGACTTAGTGGTTTGACAAGGCGTCAGTCGAAGAAGAATAAGAAGAAGAAGAAAAAGGACTCCAACTGCAAAGGAGCAGGAGGATGATCCTGACTGGGGCTTCTTCTTCATCCAGAACTGCGTTCTTCGCATTCACCCCTATTACAAAAGATCCCACACAACCACACCTCTCCAATACCGGTGCGCGTCGATCCCGAGACCCTCCCGCTGGCGGAGCTACCCCTGCAGGCGGAGCTCCCCGGACGGCGGAACCGGCGGCGCCGCCAGGCCGAGCCACTTCCCGCCATCCTCCGGCTTGCCGGCCGCCGATGACCCGCTCACCGGGTACGGCGCCTTGGAGATGATCCTGCGGAGGAGGAGAATTTCCTTAGATGAGTCGATGAACTGAATTGAAAGATCGTCGGAGAATATGATGGCAGCAAGGGGGGGGGGGGCGGAAGGTCGTTCACTAACCTGTCTTTCCTTTTCTCCAGGAATCGGTGGAGCGAAACCCTTCTCGCGATGGGAAGATCTGCAAGGAAGAGTACCCACAATTCATCGATCGATCCACCATGAGCACAATCTAACAGGTTTACAGATCGACCATGGCCGACTCTATCGAGAATCTGAAGCTCCGATACCCTCAATAGGATCATTCAGCTCGAGATGAATGGGTGTAATCGCAGATCTCTCTTGTTTTTTTTCTGTCCTCGATCTATCCACTTCAAGACATCACAAGAAATCGAGAGAGAATTACCTGAGCCAGCTGCTTGCGGTGGCTTCTGGGGGGCTACCTGCGCTGCAACCGGAGCAGCCGTGGCGGCCGCAGCTTCAGAGGTGGAGGCCGGCGATGGGCCAATGTTGGGCCGTGGCAGCACTGGTGCAGGAGCTTCGACTCGGACGCGCTGGGTGGCTGCGGGACAGCTCTGTTTCGCCATAACCATCAGCTCTCCGGCCTTCCCCGCAGGGAAGTTGTCGAAGACGACGACCCTCCCCGCATAGAATATCGTCATCTGCCCCTTCTGATCTTCCCTGCAATAAGATGTTGAAGATCGTTCGTTCATGGAGCTGCTCAATTTTCCAAACCAGATTTTGAAGAAGGAGAGGGCTGATGGGAACCTTGTCTCGTCGGCCTTCCTATCGGAGGACGCGACGGCGCCGCCGGACTGGGGGATGACGTCCATCGACGGCGTGTGGCCCTTCCGCTCGTCGTCCTCGCCCGAGACCTCCACACCAGGCATAAGATTCATGGTCTGCAGAGCCTCCGGCTTAAATTTTTCTAGAGACGAAAGAAGAATCAGGACCGGCGTTTGAAGATTTGAAGAGCTGATAGAACAGGAGGACGAAGAGCGGTGAGAAATCGGCCCGTTTTCGGTAGACGTCTGATGATTCACGGGAGCAGACCAGACCAGAGGGACTCCGAAGGTCGATTCAGGTGGCCAGCATAGATAGTCCTTCGAAAGACCAAATTCCACAGCCGTCTATTACACTACTCGTGCGGATTTGAGCGTTTGATACACGAGGAACAAGGCACCGGGGGACGTAAGCTCCTGATCTCCCAAACTGTTTGAATCAGGAGCGGTCGTTGGGGTGGAATTAGGGTTTTGTTCCAGGAGAGGATCAATTTTTCATTCCAGATCGGATATCTACGTTCAGGGAGAAAAAATGATCATTCAAACTGAGCGGCACGAAAAGAAACAGCCAATTCCTGGTCCGCGCCAGAATCAACAGACGGAAAATAATCCCAAACCGGTGTAGCGCCGTCCTAATCCATCAGAACATCCAATTTCCATTGCAACCATCGGAAAACGGATCATGCGCCACACAAATTCAAACCGCAGGAGAAATCGAGAGACAGGAAAATAATAACCGAACCGAATCATCCGCAGATACGTGCATACACAGGAAGACTAAGAGAGACAGACAGACAGAGAGCGGATAGGTTCTTACCGATGCCTCCGATGGGGGGCGCCGCCGTCGCCGCAGCCGCGGCGGATCTGTCGCCGGCGGCGGCCGAGAGGCTGAGGCTCAGATCCCCGAGGCTGCCCTTCTCCTTGAGGTACCGTCTGAGGCGGCTGCAGGTCACCGAGAAGGTGGACGACTTCTCCGCCGCCCTCAGCTCCCCCATCTCCGCCTTGCTCACCATCGCCCCCTCCTTCGACAACCTCCCTCTTCCCTCCCTTCGCAAACCAGGAAGATTCCTTCCCAGAAGTTCCCTTTTCTCCTTCCTCTCTCGTTCCTGTCTCCCTCCTCTCCTCTGTTTGTTGACAGCCATTTCAACACGTGCCGACAGAAATATATTTTTTTAATTTCGGACATGTAGAGAATCACAGCTGCACCAGGCGAGCCACTTTTACCCAGAAACCCCCGCTAAAAAGGGTTTTATCAATATGAAGGAATACTTTTACCTCCAGACTCCGATTGTCGCGATCAGCCAGGTTTTATTCAAAATAATAAAATAGATGAGGTTTTATTGGCACTTTACTATGTTCATGGGGTTGATTGGTAAAATGACCCACATAAAATAAAGACAGAGCCCGTGGTTTCACGCATGTGTGTGGGGCCCACTCACCACGTGAGAAACGCCTCTCGAGGAAACGCGGAAGGTAGGGAAAGCGACCGGTCCGACTCGGACCGCGTCCGTGACTCGGATCTATGGGCGGATAACGATGCCCCCCCGACGGCCGCGATCACTCCATCAGACGGCCCCGATGCGACGCGAGCGATCCCACTTCCAATTGGGCTCTTTCGGCAATTTATTTCCTTCCCACAGTCACAAAATAAATAAACATTAAATAATTCACGAATTTCGATCCAGTCAGACTACAGGTCAGATGCCCCCTCACTCTCAGTGGTGGGACCCAGCTGGGGGAATTCAGTCCAAAATCGGCGAGTTGACGTGGTCCCCGTGGGGGATCGATGACGCGGGCTCGAGCACGTATTTCGAACAATCCAGGTTTGGGGTACACGTGGACTGTTCGGGTCAACGGGGGCGCCATCCCCCCCCCCCCCCCTTCACCTTCCCGCACTATCAAGGTTTATTCTTCATTCAAAGGGCCTCACAAAGGGCACGTTGAAATGGTGCCCACAGAGTGATGAGGCCGGGCCCACTTGCGGTCCTCGCTGACCAACGCTATAGGGGTATCGGCGACGGGGAATTTGACCAATGGGGTTTCTGGTGAAATGAAAATTTCATACGGGGGTTTTGAACAAATCTCACTGTCAAATTGGATGATCGTGCGTTCAAGGCCAAAATCAGTGGGTCCCACAATAAGACACGAGAAGTCGCCCATTTTTTTTTTCTACCTTTCTGTCTCTCTGACTCCTTTTCTGTATCTTGTATGCTCCGCCGTGCGTCTATGCGGTGCCCCTCGATATGTACGAGGCTCGAGGACGGGTCACATCAGACATCTTGGTGGCTTCCAGTTGACGCATTTCATTGAACAGGTGGCTGGCATTTAATGGGAAACGCACGTGGCGATAGAGTGGACCTCGGCTGATTCGGAGAACTGGAGATCGTGGTTCAGTGGCGATTCTTCTTATCGGCGGCTCTCTCTCTCTCTCTTGCTGTAAAATGGCAGCGAGGGTTTTTTTTAACTAAAGAGGTTTTAGATATTCGGCAACTTTCAGAGGGTATTGACGTAAGGATCCATATTTACTAGGAAAGAGCATCTTGGGGGCATTTTAGTTAGTATAGGGAGATATGGGGACTGACAGAAAATATGCATTTGGTAAGAAATATATGAGGGGTGTATGGAGGAGGCAGGGCATCATGGTAACGTCAGGAAAAGGTATATTTAAAATAGATAGGTAGTTAATTAAACTAAATTATCTATTATGCGTACCACGCACGGTTTATTCGTCATTCTATTATTTTTCGAGGACAAATCACAAAATTCCTTTTGAGTTTAGGGTCTTTCCATATGAATATTCCTGGTCAATAAATGATCATCATTAATGCCTATTTAAATAAATTTATTTCTAGAAGTCGAAGATAATAGGCCCATTTTCTCCATCTGCTCGCCAAAAGTCAGCCCAATGACAAAAACTAGGCCCAGCCGAAAAACCAAGGACCGGCCCAAGGCCCATTTCCTCGCCTTTTCCCTGGGCCGAGGTCAACTCTTGACCCTTGAGATGGACGTATGGGGTTGATTGTGGGGCCTCACAGGGTGGGCCCCACCTGATTGACCCCCCATCAGGATACCATCCAAACCACTTGAACTCTAGATTTCGGATAATCTGAAACCAATAATAATAATAATAATAATAATGATAATAATGATAATAATGCATCACGGTTTCTAGCTCAGCAAGGCCTATATAGTTTCACGAATCAATTCACGCATGATCTATGAGTAGTTAATGAAAATAGAGCGACAGAGAAATTCACGATCTTGGGAAAATGTGTGGAGGAAAAGCACACCTCCAATCTCGGGCAGCGGATCCGCCATGGAGTTCTTCCACATGGGCATCGTCATCGACCTCTCCCCCTTGGAAAATGGCGCAACCGACGGCCGCCGGAGTCGATTCCTTCCTGCAACTGCTACTCTCTCTTGTCTTCTTCAGGTGGAGCGGCAGCAGCGACGTCAATGGCCAGTGCAGCTTTCAGGTCCGGGGAGGATGAACTCCAGGTTTCTTTTGAATGCAGGAGTGAAGCCTCCTCTTGGTCAAAGCCCTCACCGCCCTCGTCTGAGAAGGCGTACCTGACAGATGGGGCGGCGGGTTGACTTCAGTTCTAGAGAGAGAGGAAGAAATCCAGGGAGGAGAGGCTCAGAGGGATCTCACCTCATCGTGTTCTGAGATGGCGCCCAGAGGGCGCAGATAATGCAGAGGAGAGAGAAGGACAGAAAATGCCAGAAGGCTAGAATAATCCACGCATTCTGCCACCGCTCGTTGTACACATCGGTTGACTTGAAATAAATCTGCGAAGATGCGTTCGATCACACCTTAAATTCTTTCAATTTCCCCAAAAACTATGGACATAAAACCGGAGCGTCGGAATTATATTGCCATAAAAAAATCCCAGATCGCAAGAAATCTGGGCAGAACCCGATGAACATTCGTTACCTCATATCCGAGCCAACCAACTGACATGATGATGGTCACCGCCAATGCATTGGTGAATTTTCGATAAATGTCTAGCTTGTGCAGCAAGCGCCTGGCCTGTTGTCATCAAGATGAGGCAGAATGATCCATGCAACAGAGATTATGTGGAAGGAATGATGACAGAGAATAAATACCTGGAGCTTTTCGAGTGTTGTAGAGAGAGAAGTGAATATCCAGAGGATGAAGAAGGCATCTAAAATGGCCACTGGAAGAACCAAGAACAATCTTGCCTTTCCTGAAAGATCGCTTATGGTGCCGACGTTCTCCACCAGCTCGAGCACCTCGGAGGCGAGGAAGAATGTGGCCCCAAGCATGATCACCTTGGAAGTGAGGCCACCCAGTGTGGGCTTCACCACACCGAAGCCCATGGAAACCACGAGGATGAGGATGCGTGAGACTGTTCTCCTCACAACACCAGCTGTCACTGCGCAAATCGTGACTCCAGTGGGTCGAAGCCCGGTCCTGTTCAGCTCCGCATACTCAAAATACCAAATCGCAGTTTCTAAAGCGCCCAAGATGATCACTAGAGAGATGCAATTCTGAAGCGGGAGAATCTCTCTCCAGAATCTTGCATACTGGGAGAACCAGAAGATCCCCAAGATCACAAAGAAAAGCGATATGGTCCCATAGAACTTCAAGAGAGGGGACATCCTTCCTGGAAGATACCCACCGGGGTTCTTCCAAACCGTCTTCCCCTCCACGGTCACACCCTTCATACTGGGATCACAGTGGACGAAATAGACGTTATACATCCCGGTTCTCGTTATATGTATCGTCTGGGATGGCAATGTAGCGACCTGTTCATTTCCCTTGAATGATGCCTGCAACACCCATGGCCAACCAGGGTTCTGTGTTGAGGGCCGATGGATAACTGTACCCTCAACACAGGCACCTAGCTTCGCCAGGTCGGGCGTACAGCAGACCGCTCTTTGCCCGCCATATGCTGACCCACCAATGATTTCTCTGTCATCAACTTCGAATATGATGGCCTGGACTATCTTGGTGTCATCTCCTTTGCTTGATGCAGCGGCCTCCATTGGTCTCCTGAATGTGATTGACTCAAAGCTGGATGTAGACGTGGGTGAGGTTCAGCTCAAGATTTAGACGCACAAGAGTCTATTTTTTTTTCATATAATTGCAAAATCATTGACTCCCGCTTTTTCTTTGGCATCTCCAATTAAATAGGAAATTCTCAGACTTAAAATAAATACAAAAAAAAATAGCTATCCTAATGAGTGTAGGTGGCTGAATCTACGTTAAAATGATGGGGTAAAAAAAAAGAAAAATGCAACAGATGTCACCGGCAACATTTGCGGGTAATTCTTCGGAAAGCATCCCTAGGACGTTGAAAAGGAACTGGAAAGAGAGCTCTAGAAAAGATCATGATGGAGAATGGAAAACTAGTAGGAGAAGCAGACGTCATTGGAGATCTCATCAGATAATCAAAAGATGCAGCAAGGGCGGAGTACCGCTCTGCAGCATTTCTCCTCCGTCAGAGGTGAAACCAAACAAATTCCTAGTGCAGTCTCAGAAGCTCAAAAAGGATCGCGGGATCCAAAGCAAGGCCCGAAGATCCATGCAGAGACCCCGAGGAGCGGAATCCGACTCAAGGTCCACAGATCTGGAGATGGAACCGGAGATGCCGAATCCAACTTGAGCTCGGCAGATCCAGGGGATAGAGAGCGAGTCCACATTGCGTGCAGAGGTGGAGTTAAAAGTGATCTAATGAGTTACCTAATGAAGGAGTCGCCACTGCCGGCGGCCGGAGAGCTGCCGTTGCCTTCTTCTCGCTGGAGGACGGAGGCGTAGAGCCCCTCGCTTCCGCCGTGGAAGACGAAGGCATTGCCTTTGGCGACTAACTTCTCTGCGGCGTAGTCGTGAACGGAGGCATCAATGCCGAGGAGGTGGACGAAGAACAGCAAGAAGAAGCCGAGCAGCGGGGAGCGGTGGATCTGCCGAACCGCCATCTCCGCCATCTCCGAGCAGCGAAGGAGAGCACAGTGACGCCGACAAAACGGAAAGGGTGACCGTATCTCATCTCCCTCCGCTCTCGTTTATATGCACCCCCGGTGGACCGATCGAGAGAGACAAACCAGTGCGCAGTCGAGTATGTTCACTGCGAATCACCAGATCCACTCAAGTTTAATAAGTATTTAAATGGTCGGTCAACGGCATGCCAAGAGCCTGCCGAGCATGAAGGGAGAGGAAGTTGAATGGGGCTCTCTGGGCCGGATATTGATTTTATTTAAATAAATAAAAATATATTAATGAGTTATTATTTACCGTTGACCATATTAAGAATGAAAAATAATGAATAGGCTTGAAATAATTTTAAAAAACATGAATAATAATAATATATTCGGTGAATAAAATGAAGAATATGGGTACAGGAAAAAGAAAAAGAAAAAGAAGAAAAAACATATTACAAACGAGAAAATTAACCTCGTTCGTGTACACATTATTTACACACTTGAATCGGGGGACAAGGAGGAAATCCAGAGCTGGGTCGTACAGCCTTTCCTCTCTCTCTCTCTCTCTCTCTCAACACCTTCACTGCCCACAATCAAGCATCTCTCTCTCTCTCTCTTTCTCTCTCAACACCTTCACTTCCCACTATCAAATATATCTGTGTATATATATGTATATATCTTCTTCTTCTTCTTATTGTTCTTGTTGTTTCACACTCCAATGGGTCCAATGGGTGTTCTAATCAGAGCCTCTGCCGCACATCTCCGAACAGCAACCAATGCAGCCGAGGACAGAGAGGGCAGTGACGACCTGGGCCATGACTATGGCGCACTGGTCGTTCATTCGAGAGCATGCCCGGATGCAGCACATGCAGCAGAAGAAGTCCGCGAGGCTGCCGCAGCACCTGGCGGCCGTGGCCTGGATGTCTATCTCCGGCGACTCCCCGCCAAATCCTGGCGGCAGGTTCTCAGCCGTGGCGGCGACATCGCCGAACCCAAGAGCGAGGCCGCCCACTGGGATTGGGATCTCCTTTGGTGCCACGCTCTTCTGCTTCTCCAATTTATTCCCCTGGAGAAAACAATTTGAAAGGATTAGTGGGCCGTGGAGAATTCATAGAGAAATATGCTTCCCAGTAGGGTGGGGGGTTCTAGCAAGTAATCTCAGCTCCTAAATTTGGCCAAATTATTTTCTGGGTTTAGCCATATTTGTCAAGAATCATGGGCGGCCCACGGCTTTACCCAATTTCATTAAAAGAAATATTACGATGAAATTTCTCAGCAAAAATAATCATCCAATTGCATTAAAATTGTCTATTTTTAGAAAAAGATGAGACACCCAGAGTCAAAGCATTCGTCAGCGGCCCATGATTTAGCAAGATATCAGAAGTCTCAACATAATAAGTCAAAGCTGGTGATAGAGTTGGTGGATACCTGAGACAATGGTCCATCCTTCTCCACCTCCTTTCGCAAGATCATGAGAGTAAACTCAGATGCAACACCACTTTGAATGCTTAACCGGGAGATCTGCACAGCAAGGGAGCAGGTTTTTATGCGGTGGCATGATATATGCTGGGTACCCGAAGAAATTCATGGGGGGAACGATGCTTCTATTAGTGGTGGTGTAAAATATATGGTTTGGAAAAGAAAAATAGAAAGTTTCGACAAAAATAAATCATAAAGTTTGAAAATATAATCAACGAAGCAGTCATGAATGCGGACGGGTAGTGGTCCCCATCCTTGGCTTCTCCTCTCTGTCATTTGACTTTAACACAAATGAGATGATTGGGGTTATCCATTTTGGTGCGTGCCAGTTTAGCTCTGAGCTCCACTCTGCAAAGATGAGATTTGGCCAGATTCCGGCTACTATGAATGATCCTCTGACAATCATGATCTCCGAAAATCGCTCAATTTCTATGTGCTGCTCAGTTGATTCGTTGACAAAAGATACTATGCACTAAATTGGCTGGTTTCCATCCACCCGAGGCCAGTTGGGGTCTCCAAAGGTCCCAGTAAAGGATGATCTTTCCCATTTGACCTTTGCTGAAGAACGAGGTCACAAGTCTAACAAACACTGGCTCGCAGTCAAGGGAAGACCTGCTCTATGGAAAGTCCCAGGTTCGTAATACTGTTTATTGACAAAAGAGTATCTACGCAAGCACACTAATCAGAAAGTTAAAAGAAAGGAATGGAAATATATCTGGATTTTTAATAGATGACATGGTTATAATGATAATAGAATATAGCCAACCAGGTTAGAAACAAAGGCAACTAGATTCAAGATAGAATATAAATCAGTGGTTGGCGTCCAAAATCAAAATAAAAACTCAGCAAAACGTCAGGCACTTGATTTCTGACTTTCCATCTACCTTTTGTTCTAGCTCTTTACTCTCAGAAAGCCACGCCTGGGCTGTCATAAGATCAATCTGATGTTTTGCAAACACCTGTTCAGAAAATAATGTAAGATGAAGAACCATGGTTGTCATATCGCGTTCCTTAAATTTAATCACTTATTATAAAGGAAGAGAAAACAACGAAGCTTGAAATTTTCCACTAAATAAGCTATATTATAGACTTTTAATGAGATGTTCAAGGCAGAAGAAAGAAAGACAAGGAATAATATAAAGCACAGTAAACCCTTATCAAAAGTTTCACAACCCAACCAGTTGCAAAGCAGTGCTTCACTTCCGCAAGATAAATATAAACGTGAGAGATTTCTTCACTTGGGTCTGGGATTGAATTTGAAAATGAAATTGGTAACTAGTGAAGTAGTCATTCCTCGTAGTGAAAGGAAGATGCCTTGTGTGTCCACCCTTGGCTGACAATAACACCCTGCAACCGGTGTGTTCTTTGCCTAAGCCAATTCCACATTCAAGAGAAAGATTTGATGATCCTTGAAATGTGAACCCCCCTCAACCCCTCGCCCAGTATAAAGAAAGATGGCAGTAGTTTTGCATCAATGGTAATGGATGAAAAAAGTTGACTTTATATTGAAAGGAAAATGGGAGATATGGTAACAGTTGGCAAGCTATACTAGTCGTGTATCAGATCTAATATAATTGGGAAAACCTGATGCCGTATACAGCCCTTTCTTATTTATTTAGCAGTCTGCAGTGAGTCTGTGTCACTCCCGTTCAAACAAGGTCAACCCTCAACTTAAAGGGGAAATTTAATCCAGGGAAAATATAAGGTGAATGAGAGAAAACTCGAGATAAACAAAGCAGAAACATAAGTATAAAGCTGTACAAACCTAAATGATACGTTTTGCAAACAATTTGCGTGAAAACTGTTTGTCAGACATTGTCTATTCATAAAATTCAGGTTCACATTTCAATTTTAGTGTCTGCTTTAAGCCAAAATAGTACGCTGAATCAGTTGACAAGAAGATAGGATCTGAACAAAGTCGAGATGCAAAATATAGAGTAAAAAAATGGAATAATCGAATACAAAGCAAGACAAAGATTTGATTTTACCTTCTCCAGAGGGATATCCGTCTTTTGCGTTTTCAGTTCAATTGAAAACTCTGTCATGTCCGCTAATAAACCCTTAGATTTCAGAGTCTCTGGAAATCTCCCATGATATCTGCCTACTAGAACCAGAGGACATCCAACTGAAAGATCTGGAACATGGGAAGGATAGACCTAAAAGATGAGACATGACCTCATGTTAACTGATGAGAGGATATTGAAACAGCCAGCAGCAAATGATGAAGTATGATGTTTCAAACAAATATCTGATAACAATGGAAGAAAGGTGCAATCAGCGTTGCTTTTAGGAATATGACTGTGCCAATTCCAATAATGAAACCAATGAAATTTTCTGCAAGAGAAAAATAATAAAACCTCACAAATTGTAACCACGTGCCAACCAAGTGGGTTGCTTATATTTTCAACACAAATTGACAACTAAAGATCCGTTCCTGCAAGGTCAGCATGTGACAATCATATATGCAGACTGGTGCATTAAAATATTTCTAGTCTGCAGAGTTCCTCACTGAAGCAAAGATATACAAGTAATATAAACTGGGTATATTGTTAATCAGCTCTCAATTAGAATAATTGCTGATTGAGTTAAACGGTTCCATTATGCTTTGAAGGATCTTAGACAGTGTTAGAAATACACGTCATCATTATGTACAACTTAAAGAGCAGCATAAAAAGTTAAATTTAAAGATCTTGGCTAATCACATACCTCAAATGAGTCAAGTTCGTCAAAAATATCAAACGCTATGTTTGCAAGTACAGGAGAGGTAATCCTCTTGAAAAATCTTTGCATTCGGATATCAATGGAACCTTGCAATGCAAAGAAAATTAATTCAGATTGCATAAAGGCCATGCTTAATCCATACTTCTATCCACCATAGTAAAACTGTACACATATTAGGAAGGGAAATGGTGTTCAAAATAAGAAGACAACTTTCTTTTGTTAAGGAGACAAAGAAAATTGAACGAGAAAAATTGAATTTACAGGCGCAGAACTCCCATTGAAAAAGAAAATACACCAAAGTAAAATCATAGCCACGGAATCCCTTCTTTGTTCCCAAAATTTTTGGTTTCTGTCGGAATATTGGCCATCTCTTGATTATTTCAAGCATGTAATTCTGATGCTTCTTGAAACAAGAGAAAATGAAATAAGCATGGAATAAGCCAATTATGAGAAATAAATGGTCCGACGTGAGCACTCCTTCCAGAAAGGTTAATAAGAGGCAAATCCAACTAGGTTTGACAAACTCACTTAGCCGATCCTGGCAAAGGTGAGTATTCAAGAATGTAGAGAAAATCAGATTACTTCCAAGACAGGATAGTTCAGTTATACCTAATCCGTTTATTCTTGTCTCATTGTAATTTTGTTGGCTGGGTCACGTAACAAAAAGAGAGCTTTCAGCTCGCTGTGACCTAGACCCCCTATAAAAAGAAAGCTAGATAGACTAATCAAATTTGTATAGGTGGTGTCTCTTTTGTGTGACATAAATTTCTTAAAGAGCTTCGATCCATTGGAAGCATGATAGAAAATAAAAAGGCAGCAGTAATGATCCTCTGTTTCTAAACTCAAGCATGCCATATGCTCATAGTTCCAATAAAAAGAAGGGCTCATAACCAAAGCATGATGTATCCAATGATTCCACAGAGAAAACCTGTATTTGTCCCTGAATGAATAAAACCATTGATCTCCCATTTCGTTATGACTCGATAACTGGAAACAAAGACTGATTATAAATGCTAACCTGCCTCAAACGTTGCATCGTACAGGCCCCTCCCAATGCTTGCCAACATACGTAAGAAATAATGGTTGCAGTACGAACCTAGCAATATAGTAAGTAAAATTTCAATACATAAATTTGATGATGCATGAAACCTAAACGACAAACATTCCAAGTTTCCCAAAGGATATCAACAAAACTCAAAGAATACTAGCATTGGATTTCCCCAAATCAATCTTGTAAAAAAAATCAGTTAATGATGTCAATTCTCATATGTACTATATACATCAAAATTATTTTAGTGGTTATTTGCTCTTGGATAAGTTTATGTTCAATCAAGAGGTTCTGAATATTTGGAAACGTGTACCTTGTTTTTAAATGTGTAAGAATCATATGATATCAATTCAGTATTTTAAATAATGTGTCGTAGTCTTGTCCATCACAACCACTTCATTTTCGCGTCACTTTTTCTCTGGTCAAAGTGGTATAGGACGGGACCAAATCTTATAAAAATCCATCATTTTTTGAGCCTCTTGGCAGTGCAAAAAGGGGTAGTCAGGTCTCTTGGTGAAATGGGTGGGGAGGTACTAAATTCCTCAATAAAAGAATTATTTTGAATAGAATTTGACAAAAAGTAGACAGGTGTTTCTGTGCCAAGCACCAAACCTAGTAACTTCGACATCAGAGAGTACCACAGGTGAAGACATATCGGCATAGGGGTCAAGCATACACCTAGCGGTTTTGAGTTTTGAGATTCATTATGTGACGCATACTCTTTAGCCCAAAACTGTCAAAATCATGAAACTCTGAGGTCCTTTTCATCTCACTTCAATTACTTTAGGATAATAAACCTTACATCAGCATTATATGCACCGTTGCCTTAAAAGGGAATTATTTAAGCGGCGCCTGATCTATGCAAATGCCTCTAAAAAACTAGAGTTGCTTAGCATATATTTTTTGCTTCGGGTTACTCGGATTTGACAGTTAACCACAAACTGTAGAGGCCTACATATGACGTAATCTTAAAAGCGCCACACATTATAAGAAGTCAGAGGATGAGGAAAAGCGTCAAGAATAAAAGGAAGCAATAAAAGAAGTTTAAATTGTGATTACCTATACCAAAGGTAGAAATTCTAGGGGATATGGAACCTTTATTGTTGACATAAGCTCTCATAGTAGAGCAAATACTTCTTTCTTCTTCAACAGCTCCATCAGTGATGAAACAGACATGAGGGATTGAATTCGTGGTTTTTGATAGCATGTGCATAGCCTAATAGAGAAAACGAGAAAGAATAAACTGTACAATTATGTAATATTGTCTATGATTTCTAGCAATAATATGAAAATAAAATGAATCCATACAACCAGAAGCTCATACCTTCTGGCTAAAATCGAAAACCTCACCTCATTCAAGGGTTTTACAAAGTTCGTTCCTCCAGCAGCAACAAAACTTTGCTTCATCCACTGAATAGCATTTTCAACGGTTTCTTGGGTCGCTCGTGTCAGAGATGGCGAGAAAGTATAGATTTCATCGTTGAAAGCTATTATGTTAAATGAATCATGCGGAGTCAGCTCCGATGTGGCGGCTGACAGTGCATTCGTAACACTTTCAAGAGGCACTCCATTCATGCTTTCACTTATATCAACAACAAAAATAATTTCCTTCCTGAAAACCTGTTGTTACCATTCATTGAAGTATACATCAACCCAAGTTCAAAGAAATGGATAATAAATGACAAAATGTTAACAATGAGGTTATGATGACAATGTACAATTATCCCATGATGATTACGGAATTGAATAGTGTACTATTATTTTCTAAAACATCAATATGATGATAAAGGAGTGATTGCGTGCCACCAGACGGAAATGACAAATTTTTATTCTTCTGAATTCTTGCAGTAATAGCATCAGTCTACGCATTGATGACATCTTGTGTCAGGCACCAACTGCAATGGTCATGAATGATACCACAGATCATTAATGAAGAATATGACAGTCAGAACATGACAAACGTTTAATAATAGAAAGCCCTTTCACAGTAGAGGTGGAACCTACATCAAAACCGTAGGGGTTCACAGAAGAAGGTTTGTGAAGGTATGCATTAGAAAATGATGAAGATAAGACACGATTAGGTACCTTTCTCCGTTGGTTACTCCCAGAAAAAAAATAGAGACAGAACCTCTCTCTTTGATCTATGTCATTCATAGGTGGAGGTTGCAAGAGTATGCCGCCGAATATATCATTTGAATAAACCTGCAGTGGTCAAATACACAAGAAGTAAAATATATCAGCAAAGAACATAACAATTTAAAATTTCTCTTATAAAGTTTCAGGGAAGAAACATCCGAGAGTATGCTCATCCGACTTTATTAGGAGCTTTTATTTGATGGCACAAAGTCATCTGGTAAAAAAACTCGAAGGCTTTGTGAAATTGTGGTCATCGGTTTAATAAATCAATTGTCCCATCTCAAAATGTGCATATAGGTCATCCAAGGCCAAAAGTTAATAATCATGTTTGAGCCGAAATATTATGAAACCAAGGGTATCCATGGCCGAGAAATGTATCCTAGTAGGGCTGCAAAAGTAAAAATCGATAAAAAGGGACAGCAGAAACCAATCTCAACAAAAAATGAGTACCCATTCGATTTTTTTCACCAGAAACAGGCAACAGTATAGGTCACCAGCATATATGGTCTTAGGGATATATTTTAACCGTAAACTTGCTAATCTTTATTACATGATTCTCATCAGTATTGCATTAACCTTGATTTTTAACACTAACATACGTATACACATGCATTTATATATGCATACAGGCTAGGACTCAACTTGATGAGAGTGAAGTTATGGATCAAAAACAGAAATGAAATTGCAGGGATGCGAACTGCATCCTGAACTAGCAATTATACATCAAAGTACTTTGTGGGTGGCGTTTCTGGGAAATCCATCCAGAACAATTCTAACTTACAGTATAAGAAAAGCTAAAATCTGTTTTTGACCAAGAAAAAACTTCTCCTTCATATGAGAAGCCCACACTGCCTGGCTGTCGTCTTGTTTCCTTGTAGGTAGAAAAGAATAATTAGAAAACTAGTTAAAAGTGTCAAACTCATAAAAATGAAAGCAGAGTAAAGTAACTAGAACGAAGAAAACTTACAGATAGTCACTAAAACAGAAAGAAATGACCACAATGGCAAATAAGTGTGCTTACCTTTAATGCATGGCTTGTCATTTGGCACAAAATTTCTTTCCCAGCACCACCATGTATGTTCAACTTTATCTTTTCCATCTTTTTAATTGTCTTTCCAGATGGATTAATAAATTCTGGAAAGGTAAACGGTATGCTAATAGAGAATTGCCCATCACTATAAGTTAATTTCTGGACCCATCTGATGGAAAGAGAAATAACTGATCCTCCATTCACCTTCAGAGAAAGAAAAAGGGAAATTCATGACTATAACGTAAAAACGCTAGGATGACATTAATGTCTAAAGTTTTTCCGTAAGTGGAATGAATGCAACAGTGGTTTTATGAAAGTTAACACAACAGTTGTAAACGAAAATGCTAAATAGAGTGATGCATGTTAAAAACAAAAAAATGGCACTGGGATGTCACCTGGGGTACAATTAAGGAAAACAACTGAGGTTTCAAATAGCCTCCAGCTTCAGTTTTTGCAGTTTTCTCTACACTCTGATCTTCTTCAGTTTGGATTACTTGAGTGAAGTATGCTCTTTTACCAATGGCAGCATCAACACCTAGAATCGAACCCTGCCAGCCAAATCACTTCTTGATTTAGAATAGGAACATAAATGGGAGAGCTACAAAAAGTTAAAAGAGAACTAAAACAAGCTAAACACCATGAGCAAATGCATGGAATATTAGTAATCATAATTTTCAGTAATAGATAAACACACGATTGTAAGGTTTGAATTCAATTTTTATATAAATGCGAAATGAAAAAAGTTGCAAAAGTTTCTACTTGGCCCCATTGACACAAAAATTTGATGTTTCTGAAGGCATTCATCATAACATATATCCATTTTAAAAAAAAAACTAGGTAAAGGAATGACACTTCAATGACTGGAAATTTGAACCTCTACCATGCTATTAAAATATGGAAGATACATAATAGAATATCTGGTTTAGGCTATGAAAATTAGTGTGCTTAACTGTCACGTGATTTCATAATAGCCAAGTCTTCCAAAGTTCACAGCAGATTAAATCCACAGCCGCCATGATCTATAGCACATGATGAATGTAGTTGATCTGGAACCTTATATGAAGTCTGAGATCTAAGTTAATCATCTCCATGATCTATATTAATCATTTAAATGACATTAAACCGACGGGAGGAGATCAGGATTTAAATGCTTTCAAAGACATTGCAAATGTACAAGTTTAATTGATATTCTCAAATCAGACTCGTCCAACATGTCTTTTACGTCATCTACACTTGAACGACAGGAGTCAGGACTTAAATGTTCAGGTCGAACAACCAGTTATGATTTCTACAGTCATCTAGCTGGCCACCTGAATCTCTAGGTTTGAATCTGGCCTAGAGCTCTTTCCTAGACTGTCAAATTGCAAGCCCATGTTGGGACTTTAATCTTTATGGATCCACCATTGTATAATTGGTTGATGTGAGTCTCCTCATTTTCATGATCTTTGACCGAACAGGCGAGTCAACAGTTTCATTCTGCCACATGGGTATAACAATTCACCAATCAACTAAATATTTGAATCGGGAGCAATCCTTCAATGGGAACTTGTAGCAGTCAGCTCACATCTTGATCTACATTCTATATAAGCAAGATTGCTGTTCCCAGTCTTAGGCACAATTCTAGACCAAAAACAAAACCCAGGTTCCTTTTGATCTTTCACATCATGCCTTTTACAAATTCTTCAAATGCTCACATCCTTGATCTAAGGTAGTTGACCAACAGTGCCCCTCGTTGAATCCTGTCTCCCTGTCACAGACGTACCAACTCCATATATGCCATCCATAAAATGTCAACCATAGCACCAAACCTTACAAAAATCTCCAGCAGGAGACTGCACATCAATAAACCATAGAAGGTCATAAATTGCTATCCAATCCTCCACAAAGGGATAGGAGCAGTACCACCGACTATAGGTCGATACTATCGACATCAAGGATCGGAGAATGGCCACCCCGCTGCTACGCAGCTAAGTATTCACAGCCGCTGAGCATCCTTTTCATAACGAGAAACTATGGGCATCTTATCAGAATCATGGACTAGCACATCCCATTTATCAAAACACCAGCTCTATCCCTAGATGCTATCGAATGATACAAAAGGGTATCTCATAGAACAACTCTTACATCCTTTTTTTGCCTCACGCGGGTCCCCTCCTAGGAATCCAAAGCGCCCCCTTATTCATGCCTCCTACTAACGGAAGCAAGAATCCATTGAGTTCCACGGCATTAACATATCGGCTACTGCAAACAAAGCATAGGAGATCGTAGGCTTACCAGCTCACCCATTGGGAGCACTAGCCGGCAATCGCAGCTCTTGCTTCCCGTCACGCAGTGGACGCGCCAGCTGCCCTTCACGGTGACCAACGCCGCGTCCAGGTAGCACTCGACCTCCATCCCGATGCCATTCATCATCAGAGGGATCAGCGCGGGCGGATCCATCTCACCATATACGTGCGGCTGGTAGCTCGGGACGTCCGGGTTGTCGACGATTGCCGGGTCGTAGATCACCGCATACACCATCGGCGACGCCGGCTGGAGCACCGACCCCCCACCGCCACGCTCCATTCCACCGGGCCCCGTGGGCGGCACCTGATGGTGATGGTCCTTGCTTCCGCGTATCCGCTTCGACAGCTTCAGCCCGTCCTCCACCGCTCTGATAAACTCCTCGTCCATGTTCTCCTCCGAGAACACCACCAGATCAGATCACAATCTTCCTCCCAGAACAAACAACAACAACAACCCCTGCTCTATTGACGAGAGAGAGAGAGAGAGACAGAGACAGAGAGAGGGAGAGAGAATGTGAAGGTAGTAAGTAACCATGTTCAATTTCAGAGGGAGGAGGGCGGAGGAACCAGAGAACGGTCTCCATAGTGGCGGTGAGCATAGGTGAACTGTGACCTTTCTCAGTTCCGTTTTCTTGTCCGCTGACTCGGATGAAGCTGTAATGTGAGCTGGAGGGTGAGTGGATGCAATTCCTTACCCCACGTCAACGTCTAGGAAAACCTTCGGTTAGTAATCTTGACACGTGCCAGAATAAGAGTAGTGGGGCCCGGCCTCTCCATGCTCTGTCGGCAAATTATTGACAGATCGGTAAAACATCTTTTGAACTTCAGGTGGCCGTTGCCGTTACTTTGTCGTGTAGCACACATTTGGGCCCCACTTGGCGGTCGCCAACCAAGGCATTAAAGGTCCAGCTTCTGACACTCTTCTGGGCCCCACCGGGCACAGAGGAGAAAGAGAATATACCATTAATTTAATCATCAAAAAAATAAAAACTGGCAAGAAATAATACGCGCATGGGGCCCACCGATGAGATAGACAGATAGGAGAGAGAGAGAGAGAGATATGATTAATATGATCATCAAGGAAGAGCGAAAAAATGTTAGAAAGAAAAAGAATACATCCACAGCGGAGGGGTGGGTGGGGGGAGCCCATAGGCGGCGCCGCCCTCTGACTAAAATTACCACCATCTTCTTGGAGGTCAACGGATGAGGACGCGGAGCAGGCCTGGCTGGTCTTCGGAGAATTGGAGACCCTCCTCGAGAAGGTGGCGCTGGACGGCGGCGGGGAGGCGGGCGGGGGTACGGGCCCCCTTCGTGTGGTGCCCCGTGCCGACGCACACCATCACCTGAAGCCGCTGACCCGCTGCCCGCGCCGTCCGCCGCAGCACCGCGAGCTCGTGCCGCAGCACGTTAACCGCCTCGTTGACGTGGAGCCCGTGGAGGTCAATCAGCGGCTGCTTCCCCCGGTTGACGAACTGCGCCTCCGCCGCCACCGGATTCCTGCCCCACACACCACCCATAACCTTATAAATGCGAGAAATGCACACCAAAGTTCGTTCATTTATCTACCGATTGGTTGACTTATTTGTGTTGACCTGTGGCGGAAGATGGATTCGCGGGCCTTCTCGTGGGCCTCCTTCATCTGGATGTTGTAGAGCTGTCCCTTGAGGCTGAGCTCCTTGGCAAGGGCCTTGTTCCCGATTATGAAAGCTTGCCTCGCCTGCCAGGCAGTACCATCATTACTAATTCCGGAAAGACAAGGGAATGAGAGAAAAGAAGAGAGAGATGGCGGCGCCGCTCGAAACAGGCCGCCCACCTACCTGCTCGAAGCAGGTGTTCCTCAGCCTGGCAAAATCACGGGCTTCCTCCCTCGATTCTGCATACACTTGTGCTGCCCAGACAGAAATGGCAGAGAATTAGAGGAGAGAGAAAGAGAGAGAGAAAGAGAGAGAGGAACTTACCCACTGCATCCCCGGTCTCGAGCCACGCTGGGGAAGCCTGCACCTTGCCAAGGCCCTGGATTTTTTCGCCAAGAAGTGTTCTACCCTGCCTGCTGTGCAGGCTCGGGAGGGACTGGGAGTTTCTGATCGTGCCGACGGCCGCTTCTTGGGAGCTGTTCCTTTCGAGCTTCCAGTGGCCGGAATCCTGAGACGCCAGTCGCCGGACTGCCGAGGCAAAGTCTGGGGCGCCGCCTCTCGATGCACCGACGGAGCCGCTGGACTTGAGGAAAGGGAAAGCTTCCTTGCCCATGGATTGGGTCATACTTGGAGCCTGCTGGACGTCTTCACCGCCATACTTCGACGACCCATCTTGGGAGTCCGCGGCTGAAAGGGCCGGGAAGTCCATGGCGTCGAATCTTGGAGCAGATAAGCTTTTTGGGGTTGTGTTCTGGCTGAAGTTGTTGTCCACCTGAAGCTGCACCCACAGACTTGACCAAGGTTACCACTGTAGTCTGTTCAAAGATTCTCAGATCGTTGACTTTTTTTAATAACAAATGACCGAGCGGATGAAGATGATTGCACCAAAAGCAATGGATATGTGCGGCTACTAGAGGGCTTTCAAGGGACGAAAACCTGTCAAAATCCAGTTAAGGTTGACCAGTGAGATCTGTTTATACACATTTTTTGATTCTTTGTCGGCTCGACTACTGGGAATTCTTTCAGAAGGTTGCTCAATTGAAGAACATTCAACTGAAGGCCTTCTACAGGAGTTTTTTATGGCAGCTGAGCGTCCATGGCAACTGCTGTCCAGGACCTTAGCTCGTTTCAGACAAAAATTCAGTCATAAAATAGGAATATTTTTAAAGTAAGCTGAAATCTATGCGCGCATATACAATATTAAAATTACACAAGAAACCATTTTAAAATTAAACATATAAATTTATTTCATTAATTACTTAGATTAGTGTTTCCTCATTTCTTCCATCAAAAACTGGCCAGCTCCAGATGCATTATAAGAAGAAATTGAAAACATTATATTTCTTGAAGAACAAAGAACGTGCATAGTCAAATCATTGGTCAAAGGTCAAAAGCCACAAGACACATACCTCAAGTTGGGTGAGCATTTCAATTGTCAGGTTCAAGTCGCACCCATTTGCATAATACACATCTGCAAGGCTATCTGCTGCAAAACCGGGGAACTGTGATGCCAAGAACACCACAGGATTGATGCCCGCATTCTCTAAAGCCGTATGCTCATTTAACAGATCATTGAGAAAACCCACACTTGAATCCCCACCATACTGAGATCCCTCTCTGCCATTTGTGAGGTGCTGATCACCGTTGACGAACTGATTGTCCCAGGTATTAGCGCCCAAATTCATCAGAGACATTGAAGAGTAGTCTTCTGAGGACAGACCAGAATACGCCATTCTTTCACTCAAGTCAACATGTTCACTGTCTGAAGGTGAGATCTCTTGCTTCATGCCCAAAAACTGGTTACTCATCGTCATGGAGTGTTCAAATGGATCAAGCCCATCATTAATGGACAACGCTGCAAGTGATAGACCGCCTGGTGCTTGCAGGTCCTCTTCTCTCGCAATCTTAAAGTCAGGAGTAATGTCATCAGGTAATTGGTGACGCCAATACTGATGAGCCGCGTCATCAGAATTGTTTGAAATATTTGACCCCGAACGATCTAAATATGGTCTTCCAGAGGTTTCCGAGACATCTAGCCTTGAAATATCTGCTTTCTCACTGTTTTCAAGGGTGGATCTAAAAGCAGAAGGGACAAATGCCACGGCATTGGGATTTAAGCTCGTCATCTTGCTTGGTAAATTCAATTTTTTTCCGGATGAACTCATGTTGATTCAAAAACTAAGGAATCCTGTTTACATATGAAGATCTTCTAACAGAGGGAGGATGCTAAAACAACCGCTATAGAGCAACTATCCCAATCCTGCAAATTCGATTTGAAAAAAAAAAGATCAATAACTTCAGAAGAAAAAGAAACCAAGGAAGATAAATTTTTAGTTCCAGTGGTTTACATGGAATACATGCATATATGAATCAAATTCTAACACATCAAAGCATACACAAAACGACTATAGCTTCAAATTATTGTCTATGACCCTTATCTGTGATATTGCCACTTAAGTCACATTCTAGACACCTCAAATATGCGTTTAGAAAATCTATTGTAAAAATATAGAACAATACCAGAGTTCACGGGAGCACATCTTTGAAGCAGAAAATCAACATTGCTGCCATAAAAACCCTAATCAATAAAAGCCATCTGGGTTTCATTTTATCTTTCCTTCTCCCACTGATAAGATAGGAATGAATAGGATATAAGAAGTACATTCAACGACATCAGATTGCAAAATTATGGATAAACCAAACTATTAAATTTGGTAAATGCCCGTTTTGTATCCATATCATTTAATACTTTGGGAGCCTACAAGTTACCACCACATCTACAGTATCTGGCTTTTATCTTGAGAAGTGTTTGGAACACGTAACCCCTAAGAAAAGAGATTACTGTACAAGAACAAAGGCATTTGTCCCCCCATTTCCTTCCACTTTCCCCTCTTTCTTGTACCCACTTTTCAAGCTAGGAGAACTTGACAAACTCTGCCGAGGTTAGTTGGCTATCCTTCAATCTAATAAAGGGCACCCTACGTACATGAAAATAAATGTTGTTCTTAGCTGAGAGAAATTGAATTTACCTGTTGATTTTCATATTACGTACTGCATATTACGTACTTCATACTAGAAACACCACATTATCATTGCATTTTCTATAATATTACGCTTGGGGACTCAATTTTCCATCAGGATATGGTTTCTCCTACAACTGATCATTGAATTTTGTTCACACCATTCTCTAAAATGATCATAAATAATTTATTCTACTCATAATATATCCACACTAAATAGCACATCTGAATTAAAAATGTAATCCATCTTGCGGCTACCATGAAAGAGGTGCAAAATTGATCCCGTCAGTGAGAAGATTTTTGAATTGCTAGGTTTCTTGTTTGTAGCTACTCCCTTGTACCTCTTCTGAAATTCTGTTTACAATATTCTCTAAAATCATCATAAAGGATTTGCTCATAATACATCCACACTAAATAGCACACTTGAATTAAAAACTTAATCCATGTTGCAGCTACCATGAAGAGATGCAAAATTGGTCCCGGTGGTGGGAACATTTTTGAATTGTTAGTTTCCCTATTTGTTGCTGTTCTCTGATACGTTTTCTGCAATATTTTTGTCAAATTTTTGCCATACATATGCACGGATGGCCTGCCATCTCTTCCCACACATTTTCAAAAGGCAAAAGATACCTATACCTCTGGTTCGATCTAAACGGAAGGCAAAAGGCATAATCTGAGCCCAGTCTCTCAGTCGAATAGTAATCATTCCACCACCTGAACAGGAGATCCAATTCCTCTAGAAAGTAGTGCTGCCATAAGATCTCTCATGCTTACAACTTTGAAAGTTCATCACTAATAACAGTGGGAAAAAAACTATTCTGTAGAATCAACCTGATTGAGAAAGCACAAAAGAAGGCCAAAAGTCGTCCCAACAACCAAGTTGATAAAGTCAACCCCAAAAATGAACGTCCAAATTATTGCAGATAATTAAAGAAGGAAAAAGAATAAATAAAACCACAGATCCACCAGAATAGAAAGATCAGCATCACGGGATCCAACTAGTGATCTCCCTCCTCTCAGTTCGAGAAAACTCCACAAAATTAAAAACCACTAATACAGTAAGAAACGCAAAGAGAGAGAGAGACACAGACACAAAGACGGAGACACAGAGAGAGAGAATTACGGAAAAAGAAACGCGTTCGAGGATCAATCAGTAGCAGCGATTCCTCGGCAGAAAGAAGAACAACCTTTGCGGATCTTGACGCGAGGGAAGATGGAGGAAGGATACACATCCATGGTAAAGAAAACCCGTCTCGATAACAACTGGGTCCCCCCTTTCCTCCCCCAATATTCCTTCCCTTCTCCCACTCTTCACCCTCTTCGGCCCCCCACCCCCGGGGGACCTCTCTCTTCCCCACCGCCGCTCCTCCTCCCTCGCCACCAATCCCACTCCCAGCCGCCGCTGCTGGTGCCTTCTGCACTCCACCACCAAGCAGAATATCAGAGCCAAGGTACCAACAGAGAGCGATGGAGCTTCTCCTATGGCGGCGGAGGACCCCCTACCCACCCCTGTGTAGCTTCTCCCCACCTCCCTCTGTCCCTCTTCCTCCGTCCTGTGGGTTCCGTTTGACGCCGCCTCTCCAGATTCGGATTTTATTACCCCCCCGGTACGCACTGCGATTGGTGGGATTTTATCATTTAGTTATTTATTGAAATTAAATATAGTAATAAATTTACTTTCTTTATTTCCTCGCCGAAAGAAAATATTTTTTTAGAAGCCGCGCAGTGGTCTCCCTCCGACTCGGACCGGGCCTGTCCGCGTCCGTGGCAAACGTCGGCCGTTTGGTTCGTTGTTATCTGCGGGCCCCACACTCTTGTTCTTCCCTCAGCGTATTGACACAGTGCACACCGAATTGTAGGATTAGTGGGAGTTGGAATTGACGCGTTGACGTCAAATCGACCGTTGGATCTGATATGAACTCGGATTTCTGCCAAACGGCGGTGCGCCGCTTCTGATTCCAAGATTGCCAACGATTGGTATCTTGTACGAGGCATTGACCTCAGAAACGGATAAAAGATGGAGCATTTATTGGATGAAGGTGATATTTATAATTTTGACAGGTCTAACGGCTGAGACTTTATTGCCGTGATCAGATTCTTAGACAGGAACTCATTCTCGGAAAATTAAGGAATGACTTTCCAGAAGTCCTTAATGAAAACCACCAGCTATCGGTAATGGGTCTCGGGTCGGATCCCCAACCGACCGCTATTTCGGGCCCTCGGTCAACACCGATCATCAGGGAAAGACGGGGAAAAGACCGCTCATTTACTGCGTTCGTGGTTCGCTACGCCGCCGGGGCTCTTCCTCTCTCTCTCTCTCTCTCTCTCTCTCTGTCTCTCTACGCCGCCGATCGATTCAGGTATCTGATTCCCATCTGGTTATCACCCGGTCGTTCATCTCTTGGATTTCCTGCTGCGGCGATTTCTGCGACCTCTTCTTCACGGCCGGCCTGGGTTTCCCTGCGTCATCCAACTCTATACCTCTCTCATGAGATCTGGATTTCAGCACGCCCCTTTCGTCCTGGCGTTCTGTAGTGTTTTATTTTGTTCCTTCTCATGCGCTAGGTTATGGGTTTTGTTTTCTCTGAGAGGGATACCCTAGCTTTCATTGAGCCCTAGTCGCTTCAGAACTGCCGTGGGGCAGTTATTTACCCCTTTCAAAGCTATTTTCGACTCTTCTCATGGAAAATATATTGATTTAAGTTGCAAAAATTGTTATCTTGGATTATTTTTAATGTGTGGTTACGTTCTCTGTTCTCTTGTTTTGACTTCCCATGAATAATTCCAACGGCGTCAGCCGTGAGCCATTTGTGTGGTAAATTATTTCTGCCATGGGTGTCTCCCTTTTGCACTTTGAATATATCTTCCCTGTCTCTCCTATACTGGGTTTGCTGCGAGAAAACGGTGAATGATTAGGTCTCCCTACCCTCAATTTTATGATTATGAAAAACCCAGAAGGAATCCAATATATGGTCCACATTGAATCAGAGTCTCCTGGGATCTCAAGTTTCGTTTATATGAAGACTGAGCTATAGATTGATGATATTAGTTTTCCGTATCTTCTGATTTCCGTTTTCGGAGGATATAAGATCAAGCCTCATTATGAATTCCATGAATCTTTCTGATTATAGTTTCATGTCAGAAGTCAGAGCCTTCTTCCCTCTTATTATGGAATAGCCTGAGAAAGATGTCAGCGAGAGCTGCTATCTCAGGGTTTAACCCTCTTGAAGGGGTGAAAGAACGCAATAATTATCTGGCATCTTAATTTTGAGCTTGTTATGAGCTCCGGTGTAAGTCATCCTCACATTTGATGCAAAAGGTTGAATGTCAGAAAGAGGAAAGGAATCGAATCCTCAAATCCTCAATAAAGGTCCATTCTTTATGGCAGATTCCAGGAATCCTTTCGAATACTCTGCATGATTAAAAATTTCCATGTACGGAAGATTATTTACTCGGTGGAAAAAGGCTTCTCACAGTTTAAGGGAGGAGCTTTGCGAGCTCTGATTCATATTCCTCTGCCAAAGCTGAGATACCACCTCAAATCATGTCTCATTTTTGTAGGATCATCAGTGGAGCTATATTGTTAGTTAGATATAATATACATTTTATAGGAGAGAGATGAACTGATCAGACAGTTATCTTTGTCTTGAGTAAACCCCTCAAAAAGCTGAGATACCACCAGAAATCATGTCTCATTTTTATAGAATCATCAGTGGGTGAGATACATTGTGAGTTAGATACGGTATTCATTTTATAGGAAAGAGATGAAATGATCAGACAATTATCTTTGACTTGAGTAAACCACTCAAATTAGCTATCTGGTAAACCTGTCTTTTTGCTCAAGAATAGGCATGAAAAATTGACTTGTCAATCTAGGTTTGGCTTTGCCAGGCTATCTGATATTTTCTGGCCATAGTCACTCCATAGGAGGGAGATATCCGAGGATGATAGTCCTCAGTTTTTGACTCTTTATTGTGAGCTAGGTGGAGCTGATCATGTCACTGATGAGATTATCGAAAACAAACTCAACTATGTGTGAATATGCATATCTGTGATTTTATATTTAGCCTGTGCTTCTTTTATAGCATACACCCAATCATTCATATACGACTCGTTTTCCACTTCTCCTTAGCTTAACACTGCATCCGTTTCTACCCTCCTCCCTTCCTCTCTCCTTCCCTCTCTCAGCTTATCACTATCTTGGTGCGATCCTACTGTGTGCTACTGCACAAAATGTCAATCCTATGTTTCACTTGTGCCAACATGATACCATTGCACATGATTCACCAGCACTGGCGAGGTAACTAATCACCATGGTATTTCTAACAAAATTTTAGCATGATTTCTTTTAGCTTAATATCGTTCAGTAGGGGTTAAGATCTTAATTGAGACGAGATCAGCAGATGAAATAAGAACCCGTTAAGCCAATGTGGGATGCGTTTCCATGTGTTCTAATACTTGGTTGATAATCTCATTCAAGGGGTTATCTCCTGTAATTGTCGTGTGACCCTTCCTATATGCCATGCTGTTGTGAGCTACGAATCAGCTGTCAATGGTGTAGACTGTTGCAGGAGTAAGGGACATGATTAATGTTGTCAGAATCGTATATTTATATTTTGTGAAGTGGACTATAGTTGAATTCATCTTCTAACTAATGTCTGGTATCTAATCAGAATCTTCTATCTAATTTGACGCAACTAAATACCATAAAAAATAAAAAATGGTTTGATTGACCTTAAGCTACTGTCCTTGCTTTTCTACCCTCCACTCCACCTTAATGTTCTGTCTCCTTCTGTGAAGATTAAATCCTACGATTTTGATTTAAATCCAACTATGCTTCTAACTATACTTGTTTAAACTCGAGATGGATTAATCTAAACCAGAAGTAAAATCCTCTTGTGATCTTATCAAACCATGGTTCAGGCTAGCTGCAGGGGTTTAACAAAGATTATGGAGAACTATTGTTCTCACCGGCATGGACTTCTGGTTCTGCAGGGAGAAGATGGCTGGTGCCCACAAGATTGCCCATGCCACGTTGAAAGGCCCGAGCGTCGTGAAAGAGATCATCATCGGCCTCAGCCTGGGCCTTGTTGCCGGCGGCCTGTGGAAGATGCATCACTGGAATGAGCAGAGGAAGGTCAGGTCCTTCTACGACATGCTCGACAGGGGCGAGATCAGCGTCGTCGTCGAGGAATGATCGATCGGCCTGGTGATCTCCCCGCCTCTTCCGAAAGTTGTTGGTGTGACAAATCTTTTGCCTTTTTGGGTCACCGAATAAGCTTTCATAATTCAAGAACTCTGGGCTTGAAAAACCTCGTCTGGATGACGCCTTTTTCTCCTTCAAGTATTAATATTCAAACCCTAAATCGGAATCCGACAGAGGATTGCTGTTTTGGGTACTTGTTCATTGCATGTTGTTCTGAATGTCAATGCTCGTGCATTGTGTAAGTGATTATTAACCAGTGAGGTTCTCGGGGAAATTTTGTTATTATATTTTTATTAATTTTAATTAAATAAATATCCATCTCGGAGTATAGCAGGGAAATTAGTATTGCATTGAACAAAGAAAATTAGCTCCTTGGTGCCCAGCTGATGCAAACTAGAGAGAGAGAGAGAGCACATGACCGTGGCCCTACAAAGAGAGAGAAGTGGGAAGAATTGATGTATGATACAATCTAGATAGAATCAAGTGCTAGATAGATGATGGTGAAGGATCGATCACCTTCTTACTCTAGTCTCTTAGCTCTGAATTCCCAGCGTCCATTCAATGGTCAATCAGCCAGGCAACATCCCCCAATGTATTCCTCCCTCTCTCATGCATGTAACTTACAGGCTTCACTCCTATTTCCACGAAGACCCTCCTAGCCTGATGACCTCCTCGGTGCTGCTGTCCTTGCCATACCGGTCCCCGCTCCTCTCTCCACCCTTCCCGCCGCCGTCGCCATACAGGTCCTTCAGCTTCGCCAGATTGCTCATCGCAGAAGCCGCCGTCTTCTCCTTGCCCCTCTCCCCAAACGGGCTCCGGCGGTGGTGATCAGATCCTCCGCCGCCACCGCCACCCCCGCCGCTCCTGCTCCTGCTCCTGCTCCTGCTTCTGCTCCTGCTCCTCCGGGACCTCGACTCCCGGTGCCTCCCCCGATGTGAGTCCCTCTCCCTGCTGTGCCGTCGGCCGTGCCCGTTACCGTCTCTGTCTCTGTCGCGGCTGCGGCTCCGCCGGGGGGAGGATCTCCGCCGGTCATGGCTGGGGCTCCGGTCCCTGCTGGCAGTACCGCCAGCGGCAGGGAGCGTGCGGCGGACAGGGGAGGAGTCCCTGGTAGAGGCCCGGTGAGGAGCTCGTTGCCCGAAGGAGACCGACAGAGCGGCCTTCACTGACGGCGGGCGGCGGGCAGTGTCCTCCGAGCCGTGCCGAGTCGACTCCCCCGTTGACCCTGATGGCTTGGTCGGAAGCTTCATCCTCTCGAGGTTAGAAACGATAAGCCGCATCACTGGAACTGGTATCCGGGGGAACAGCGTGTCAAAGTAGTACTGCAATTAAAAAAGAAGAACAAGAAGATCAAGCCCACATGAAATTATAATAATCTTGATTGAAGGCGGAAAGGGGAGGCTAGAAATCTTCCAGCGCATGCATTCATTCAACAAGAACACTGCATATGAACAGAAAGTCAACTGCTTTTTGGGCAAAACTTTCTCCACAAATTGATCCATTCATTCGGCTATGTCATCAGAGAAGTCCACCCGATCATAACATAAAAATTTTCGTATCCATTCATGGAAGAACGGATTCCATTAATAGAACATAAAAATACCTGGGATGATAATAAAGAGCGAATTGCTTCGTCCTACTCCAACCAAAAAAAGAAAAAACGATGCAAAAAAGGCAAATGAAGTGGAAAAAAACCGACCTGGCCAAGAAGTAGATCGCGCACATACACACCCATTGTAGTTGTTCGGCCATTAGACCCCGGGGAGAATTCCTGAGAATTATAAAAGGAAACACATTGTTATGTTCTTGGCTCGTTCTCGGTGATTGCTTGAATGGGCCTTGAACGAAAGTAGAATAAATGCCATAGAAAAAGAAAGAAATTCTAGAGAGGGAATAACAGCACTTCCAAACGTGGGTCAGGCAGGGAATACGGATCTGGAGATGTATTTTCCCACACAAACTGAGACGAGGGGAAGCCACGAGCCAAAAACTAAGGGAGTGTGATGGAATACACCTTGGGTCTTCTCCCTGTATCACACAGGCTACGGAATGAGGGATGGTCCAAGACTATTTCTACTTTCGCATCTTTCTATCCAATTTCGTATCTGATGACTGTTTTTCATAGCATCTCCTGTGTAGTCTTCGTCGTCTGAGGGGGGCACCAGATGGGACCTTTTAGAAACAATTACTTGCATACTCAGAAGGCACTATTACTTGCATGCTAAGAAGAAGAAGAAGAGAGAATGACGAATTTATATTCCGCTTCCTTTTTTCTTTTCTTTTTTTTCTTTTTTTTTTTGGGGTGTTCAAAGAAGCCTGAAAAATTAGTATCCATCTATTTCCATATTTTCCAAGGTTAATAAGAATGTGAAACTGACTCTTGATAAGCACAACACTGTTTAGAATGTGGAGTTATGAGCTTGAAGAGATCTGCACAAGCGTGAGAGGCATACCCACTAGGACTACAGGAGAGTGTACTAAATATGCGAGAAGCCATAGATGCACTTCCGTGGCTAGAACTAATGTTTCACTTATGAAGCGAAAAATGTGAAATGCATCATACGTGATTTGGGAAACGTGAAGACAAAATTTTCAGATATAAGGAATAGGTGGCCAGGAGTTTCTCCACAAGAAAGGAAAGCCAGGTTGCCACGCTTGTGCAACAAAATAGAATTATCAGGGGGGAACATATCCATAAAAAAATGATCAACAGAAAAAATGAAAAATATGAATATCACAAGATGATCAATAATAAATTTGAAGTTTCCAAAATCACCAGTATTTACATGTGACTATACAAGCAAAAATAGGGCTCGTAATTAATCCTCTGTCCCAGATCTTTGAGAAATCTGTAAAAACCCTCAATCATCCTGATAAGAGCCAAGAGCAAAGAAATCCTCAAGATTAATGAGTATATTACATGTTAATTACAATATGAAATAAAAATCGGGCATCGCATGATAAGTTTGAGACCTCAAGTCCTTAGAACTAGGTAATTTTCATCAGCCAGAAAATAAATAAAAGACAATATTATGAACAAGCACATCAAGAAATGATGTACGAGATATACATACTTCATCATCTTTGATATATGGCTCGTACCAATTCCACAAAGTCTTTGGATCCGCAACATACCGCAAATAGAGAAAACCAACCTGCAGAACCAAAAGGCTACCTCAACCTCTGCTGTATGAGAAAATAAACAAAAGGACTAACTGTACTCCAAGTATTCTCCATGAAAAAAGGGTCCCTGGTCTATATGCCATTAAAAGAATATGATTTACTGACTTATATGCACATGTATGACTAAAAAATGGACAAGTCTCAAATGTTTCAAAATAAAATTTAGTCTAATATAGATGTTCTAACATGTCCAGAACCGTATTCATTTTTTCCAATGGTTATGAAGCGTAAAATACCATATACCCATATCAAAAAGACAGAAACACGGAACCAGTGTCTCTTCAAATTAGCTGCAGATGAAAATTCTAACACATAACGCTATAAAAGGTACCACATCTAATATAATAAAAGAGGTGCTTCTGTAGGGAGAGGGCACCACTGAATTCCATAGCTGGAAAAAGAGTTATAATGGTACTATCTAAGTTCATAGTGAGCATCTTGCAGTGAAAATGTGGAATAGTACCTTTCTATAGAAACAAAGAAAAAAATGTTCACGACTTATCCAGTCTTTTTTATCACAACTAAAAGTACAATGCAAGTGACAGATAATAAATTTGACGAAAAAAATCATAAAACAGTAAAGTTTGAAGGAGAACATGCTTACAGCTCTGATATACGGAGAATCAGTGTGCTTCAATAATCCATGCATTTGTTTGACAGTAAGTTTCATTGTAAAAAACTTGTACAGAAGACAAAAGGCAGATGATGGGCCTCTACAATTGCCAGTCATCCATGGTTCTACATGATCAACTTGGTTGTATATCTCATCTATCACTTCGTGGTAGGTTTTCAACGCATAAAGCTCTTTGAAGTAGTCAGAAGAGAGGATATTCATGCAAAGAACCTTTTCGAACAATGTATCAATCGATTTTCCAGATGACTGAATCTCCATGGCTTCAAAATCAGATTCTGGTTGAAAGGATAAGAAGCTGAATTGGAGAAAACCTCCGAAGCAAGAGAAAAGTAAACCAAGATGGATGTGCCCTCAGTCTAGAAGGCAGCCCTACGGAAGGCTACAGCTCTCGGTGGACCCTACAAATAAAACACCAAAGGTAAGAGTCGTAGAACAGTATTAATTCTTTTGTAAGAAAAAGAAGAATAAATCCGATAAGTAAAAAATAAGAAATTCTTCCGTAAAATTAGAGGGAGTTAAGGATAAGTAAGAGCCTCGAGACAGATTTGATAGCTCAAAGAGTAAGCAATCAATTTACGTCTGACATCACACCAAAAGGACAATAAACAATAAAAAAGGCATACCCAGGACAACTGGTCGGTCATCGCTTATATTTGGAGATAAAACCCCAAGAAGTATAAACATTTAAAACAGGGATAGACCAACACTAACGTTAGAACTTAATCTTACAACCATTATCTGCAAGGAGAACTACCTCTATTTTTACGTACATAAAAAAAGGAATATGGCATCCCATAATATGGGCATATCAAAAACACAAAAAGAATCAGCCCAATTAAATAAAGATATGCTAGTTCTACCACTAATGTTCAACGAAACAAAATTTTCTTGTGATGCAAGATTTATAATCATGATTTAGTGTCGTTTTAAATAAAAGCTGAAATTAGTAGTCTTTCTCATTATCTTCTAAACTGAGACTTTTTCACCAGGTAAAATGTGTTGTACTTTCAATTCAATTAAAACTGATTGCGGAGACTCTCATTTGTCAATACGCAGAACTTGCAGCAAGGGTTCGATAAAATGAATACATTGGGACACCAATCCCCTTCCAGCATATTTTGTGATACATAAAAATACTAGGAATCCCAAAAGAGAAGTAAAATAACAAAAGCCCAAAAAAACAGACAATATCATTCTAGGTATCTCAGCTGTGCCTACCGTCTAACAACTAGAAAAAACAGAAACGAAAACTATTAGAATAATCTTATTCAGTTTGTCAGGGCTAAGAAACAAGAGAAAGATCTTCAATCACCCATGTAAATAAAAAAAACATCTTGAAGATTTTATTTAGAACAAGATTTAACTTATAATGGACAAGATTGTTACACAGGAAGTTGGGACCTCAGAAACCTATGCCAAGGAATAGACACACTTCTTGACTAGACAAAAGGAAACCCTCTGGCTAGATTCCAAGGAGGTGACCGTACCTAACGTTTTGCCTCTCGATTCCCCATTGTCGCAAAATCAAGGAGAGAGAGAATACAATAAAAACTTCGATGTGTGATGGAGAACGACAGACCTATCATAGGGAGATGACGTTGAAGTAAATGGAAAGTGGGGTTTGGAGGGGGGAGGGAGAGAGACAACGTTGAAACCAGAGTCATCAAGATTCATAATCATACGCTCTTTTATCAGCCGATATTTGTAGCCCAACCTGGGCTAGTGGCACGGGTTCCAATCCTTGACGACAGCCAACACAAACAAGGATTAGCAGAGACAACCCTAGCTGACTTACTCGAGCTTCGACTTAGCTTCTCAGCCCAACGTCTATCCTTCACCAAATGCCCAACCCTAATCTAAACCTCTCACCACGTCTCTTAAATTCCCTACGGCACCTGCGGCCTCCATCCTCCGTTCCAACGAATCCGGAGGGAATTAGGTCACCAAAAACGAACGAAAGAGGAAGGTAATGAAGTCGACGGACACGGCGGTGGACGCAAAGAAAGGAGCATACTCAATAGCAATTACTTATGGCGAGAGCCTTTCTCCTCCGGAAGCGACGTAGCAGGCGTTGAACATCGGGATCCAGGCCGTGCGGGTTGTCGGCGTTCTCGCACCTCACGCCCCCCACCCCCCCCCCCACCCCGCAGACACGGGAACAGAGAGGCCCCACGACAGCTGCAGGAGAACAGAGAAGATGAGACCGTGTAGACGAGGATTCGCCCCCCCCCCTCGCCGGAGACTGGACGGCCGGCAGCAACGCCGGAGCTACAGGCGGTGCGAATAGAGAGAGAGAGAGAGAGAGAGAGAGAATAAGAGATTTCCAGGGGGAAGCTAGAGAGAGAGAGAGAGAGAAAAGAGACAGGATCCAATTTCTGTGATTCGGCGTCTTATTATCTCGTTAATCCAACGGTCAAGAAGGAATCTACGCGTATCGGTAAGTTCTGATGGTAAAACGGGTCGGATCATGACCCGATAACACGTCGGAGGACCGGAAGCGCCGAAACACCACGCTCCGGAATTCTCAGGGACTACGAATCCCAGCGGTTCCGGATTTTGCTTTCCCGGCTTTTACTTCAATCCTTAACGACAAAGCGGACGTGTGCCTTCCACTCTCTACTTTACAGATGTGGGCCCAACCCAATAATGATTACGATAATTACGAATTAAAAAATAATTACGGGTATTTTATGAGCGGGAAGCCCGTGACAACCCAAAAAACCAAACAGGGCCCAATAAGGATCACCAGAAATGCTCGAGAGGAGGATCCAATCACCACCAGACCCAGATACTAATAATAACCATAATTATGTATTAATTAATTCTTCTTATCAAGACAGGAAAAAACCCAAAAAATAGAAAATCTAGGACGATTGCGAATCCCCAGCAATTTAATTAAATAGAAAATGGGTTTTTCTCCTCTTTTTCTCTTTAATATACTAAAAAAAAGTACGTTATACTGTCTCAATGAGCAAAGATGATGGCGGCATCGATGCTGATTAGCCGAGAGAACACCAAATTTTCCAAGAACAGCAAGATAGCAAGAAAAATCCAGACGAATCTGAAGGGATTATGAATCTGGGTATGGAAAAATCCTCGCTCTGGAGTGAGATCCGCCAATGCCACAAGCTCTGTACATGCCGACAGGAAGATGATGATCAGAGCTTCTGCCCTAGCAAGATGATCCCTGTGACGTCAACGTCTTCAGAGAGGACGAAGAGAGCATGATCCGATCAGCCTCCCCTGCCATGCCGGCTTTGAGCAGACAGGACACCAGAGATCCCACAGTGATGCCGTCCGGCTCGCACCCGGCGGCGCCCATCTTGCCGAATAGAGAAATGGCGTCGGCAACCCTGCCCTTCATGCAGTGCCCGATGATCAGTATCGTGTAGGTCACCTTGTCTGGGGAGCAGCCCTTCTCTTCCATTTCCATCACCAGCCGATTGGCCTCCTGCAAATTCCCCGCCTTGCAGAAGCCATCGATTGCCGGGTTGTAGACGAATGCCCCCGGCACGGCGATGTCGGCTCGCCGCCGCAGCTCCGCCAGCAGCTCCCGCGCCTCGCTCAGTCTGTTCACCCTGCAGAGCGCGTTCACCAGCACGGAGAAGGTGTAGGCATTAGGAAGCACGCCCATGTCTCGCCATAGCCGGAGAGCTTCCTCCAATTGGCCGGCGCGGCAGTGCCCGTCGATCAGGGAGGTGAAGGTGACGACGTCGGGGGAGCAGCCGGCGGCGGCCATCTTCGCATGCACGGCGGCGGCGGAAGCCGTGTCGCCGGCCTTGCCGAAGCCGTCGATGAGCACGTTGAAGGTCACCTCCGTGGGGGTGATCCCCGCGGCAAGCATTTCGTCGAACAGCTCGCAGGCGTCCGCCATTTTCCCCATCTTGCAGAGCCCGGAGATGACGGAGGTGTAGGCGATGACTCCCGGCGGGCGCGACCTGGTGGATCGGATGTCTCTGAGAATCTGTCGCCCCTTCTCCACCTGGTTCGCCCTGCACAGCCCGTGGATGAGGATGTTGTGGGAGAAATCGTCCGGGGAGCAGCCGAAGCTGGGCATGGCGTGGAAGAGCTCCACGGCGCCGTCCAGGTCTCCGGTTCTGAGCAGGCACTGGACGGCGATGTTGAAGCTGCAGGTGTCCGGAGAGAAGGATGGCGAGGTCAGATGCCGGCGGAAGAGGGCGACAGCTTCTCCGGCGCGGTTTTTCGACGCCAGCAGGTTTATAAGGCTGTTGAAGGCGAACGCCGGGAGCCTGCAATTGAGCTCGGGAGCTCGCCGGAGGAGGCCGATTCCAGCGTCCAAGTCGCCGGCGACGGAGAAGGAGGCGATGAGATGTCCTAGCAGGTCGCCGTCGACGGGGCGGCGCTCCGAGAGCATCTGATCGAACAGCGCCAGCGCGGCGGAGCAGAGCCGCGACCGGCAGAGCATCCGGACGGCGGCGGAGAGGTCGTCGGGGAGGAGGCCGGCGGTGAAGAGCTCGGCGGCAGAGTTGGGATTCGGTAGCCGCCGGACGGCGAGTACGGCGACGGAGGGGGTGAGGAGAGCTTCTCGGAAGACAGCCAAGCGCGCGGCGGCGGCCGGGGGAGCAGGCGAGCGGAGGAAGATGGCGGCGATGACCTTGGCAATCCATGGGTCGTTACTGAGGGTGATGGCGGCAGCACCGACACCGGCGGAGGAGGAGAAGGATTCCAGCGAGATGCAGCGGCGGGCCAAGAGGACGTGCAGGTTGCGGAGGAGCGGCGGCGGCGGCGGTTTACGGAGAAGCATTTAAGGAGAGCGGACGCTGGCGGCGGCGCCGGGCGGTCATCTGGTTCTGGGGTGGCGTCGCCGGCAGAGGCCACCACAGAGGAAACCCTGCGGCGTGGTTAGGATCACAGATGGGGAGGGTTTTACAGCAGGATGCGAGCACCTGCGGTGAGCTTACCTTTGACTGTTCGATTCAAAAACTAAAAAAAAAGAACCGTCTCCCAGACACCGGACATTGTTTATGTACAATTTTTTTTTCCATAAACGGGGGGAAGATAAAATAAAATTATTTACAACTCCTGCAAGATCATCATCATCAGGCACCTCTGCTAGATCGACCAGCCGCTTGAGCATTGAGCGAGTCGATCTTCTTCTGCAGCTCCACCCCCGAGATCCTCTCCGCCTCCAGAGCTCTTTCGAGCTTTTCGGGGAACCAGAAAAGGCGCGGCAGATTCAGTCGCAAGAGGAAAGAGAGTTAGGCGAGGAGAAGGGGGGAGGGCGGTGATGGAAACCGTGCTCACCTTGGCGGCTCGGGCACTCCACTCGGCCAGTATGCCCCTGAGCCTCTCGTTCTCGTCCACGTACTGTCAGAAGTCAACGGCCAAAAAACGTAAATGGATTGAGTCATTGGCAAGAGCTTGGTTGGTTGGTTACCTGATTGTTCGTCGCCCAGACCTTCTTGATCTCCGAGTCCTGGTCGGCAATCAAGGTCCGAGCTAGGCGCAGCTCGGAAGCCACCTGGTCCATCTGCATTGACAATGATGGAGGGCAAAGATGATGATGATGATGATGATGATGATGATCCATCCAAAAAAAGAAAAAAAAAGGGATAATAGAAAGAACATTGCCAGGCATGATTTCGGATCGCATGGTGTTTCTGTAGGAAGTGGCTTTATGGGGGTTTCAAATATGTATTGTTCTTGAAATATGGGAATACGGCTTCTATAATTGGCATAAGAAAGGTCTCACCTCGGCAGATAAAGCCCTCAGTTCTTGATCACGTGCGGCTAAGAGATGGGCGAGATCGACCTGCCATGAGACAACAATCGTAGATCTGTGAGGCGACAGAAAATGGATCAATGACTGAAGAAGCCCTTGCTCTAGCCTGATATAGTTATGGTTAAATTGAAGTGATTTGGATATAAGTTGCATCTCTCTCTCTCTCTCTCTAGCACACTTTCGTTTAAAGCTACTTGCTTCCTACAAATGGGAATTGCTTCTAACCTGGGGTGTGCTCCCATCATCGGATCGTTCATATTTGCTCAAGCATTCTTGCAGCCGAATGACCTAGATTTGAGATTGGTCAGCAATAACCTTTTCAGGAAAAAGAATGACGAGCAGTAAAAAATAAATTAATAATAATAATAAAGAAGAAATCTGTCATCATTCAAGTAATTGACATCATTGCTCTCTATCAGCCCAACGTGTGATCCTCTGAAGAACAGTAAAATAGACCAAACTAAGTACTAAGGGAATGAGAATAATGAGGGATACCTCCTCGCTCAAATAGTGCATATTCTCTCTTTGATACTGGAGCAAGGCCATTTGCTGATCAGAAAGCCTCCCGCCGTCGTAATATCTACAAGACAAGGCCCACTAGGGCCAGTAAGTAATAAATAGAATGCCAAAAATCTGAAAACAATACATCGGACTCGATGTCCTGTTCGAAAAATCCGAGAACTGTGTAAATGAGAAAAAGATACCCAATAATAAAGTGAACCCAGCTGGGAAGACCTCATTTTTTTTTTCATAAAATTAAAGTTAATTTGTTTTCTTGTAATATGAATTCACATGCATAATTTGAAAAAGGATAGAGGTTTTATGGGATTGGATAAATGAGGAAGCCACGAAGCAATGCTGGATGATGATAGAAAAGGCCGCTATTGGTTTTGTTTCTTTTTTCACAGAATACGAGGACAGTGATAGAAACCTACCTCAGGTCTTCCAAAGAGCTTGATGGCTGCAATGATGAATATAATGATTTCAAAACATCTGGTTGCCCATGTAACGAATTATACTGATGGATGCACCCTGCATGAACAAGAATAAAAGAATATCAACAGCAACTCAAGCCCTTCTGATCCCATCAACAGCAATGGCCAAACTTTATCTCGTTCGTCCCAAAGAATGTAATAGACATATCAGAAATCCAGGACTTAGAATGGATAATTGAATCAACTACTACGAAGAAAAATAATTTAATTTAATCAAAATAACAATTTATCTATTTCTGGTTGTATGAAGCTTTAGAATGGATAGAAAAGGATGATGCCTAGAGGTGTTAAGCATAAAAATCTAGCAGTGTTTCATTATTTGAACACGCACTTCAAGTTTAAATCACTGATGCCTAAGAGAAAAATACTTGTGTTTGTCGTACTTACTGAAAATATATGAAATATACATCTGTATCTAAGCGCTGTCTGATGGCTCATCTGCCCATCTGTTCATCTACCAGTTGAGAGCAGCCATAATTTTAAGCTATTTTACTTAAATCTCTTCGGTCAGCCAAAACAAGATTTATAAAAATGAGGAAAACTACTTAAAAAGGGGAAATAACATTTTTGAATGGGGTTAAAGGCATGAAAAGGGATTTAACTATTTCACAAAAATAGAAATTATCTTACATTTAGTATCAAAATGAACACATAATTTATAATCCCAAACTCACGTCCTAAATTGTAACCATCAGCTCACCTATATATGCACTCTTAAAACAACCCACAAAGATGGCTTCAACGAACATAATTATCCTGAAAAATAATGAACGGACACAGACAATTAGGGAGTTGAAAATAACACTAGTCATCCATGCAGCTGAATGCAGAAAAAAACCCGAAAAATCATCAAGAATGGTATTCTTCTGTTTCTTTAAAAAAAAAAGAGTGCCTGTTTACACTTTGAGAGTCGTAGCCAGACAATGTTTTGCACACAAAAAACTTCAGTTGTATGGTAAATGTATATCTTAATCCTTCAGGCCACCCCCCTACTCCCAAACTGTGAGAAACTTTTTGGCAGCCATAGTTAAAATACCAAAGATTAACAAAAATCCAGCTTCAGTGGGAGTCAGTGTCGAGCTGTGGAAACAAATTCTAAGAGAACATAAATCCAGCTTCGAAGGTGCTGACCCATCTTTAGAGAGGGTGTTGACCTGCCTTATTAGCCATCGACCATCTTGAGCCGTGTTGAACTGTCTTGAGAATGATTGCCCTTATCCGGTGTAGGCATCGGCAATGACCCATCTATCTATCGCTCAATAAAACCGGATGAAGGTTGATTAGGTTGGGCGTTAGACACAGTTTCAAGGTAGCCCCGTCTCTTGGTAATATCCTTAAGACGTGCATAAAGGCGTGCATGTACACGTAGCAACCTGTTGGTTACCATGCTTTTCCTTATTCTTATTTTGTACATCAAAAAAATAGATTTGTTATTGCAGCTGTAGAGTAACACTGTTCTAACTCACATTAAAATCCAGTACGTTCTGATCTCTCTCGTCCTATCCAACCCTCTCTTCCTACTAGGGTGAGCTTCCCAATCGGTATTCTTTCTGCTGTGTAAGGATCAGATGAAGGAGCCATCATGTTCTCTTATCACGAGTTATTTTTTTCAACAACTAGTATCAAAGCCCCCTTACCATCAGTTGGTACTACAGCAAGGAATATATTTAAATCATTCATTTGACAAGACGTATAGCTAAATCATTCATCCGGAAGGAATTATATGTGATGAGTTCATCTAGAAGTCACCTGTATTTCCAAGTTTCCCTCCTGAAGAAATCCACATCCTAAATAATTATCTGCTCTTTGACATCGCCAAGGGATCATATAGAAACTCCCTCTCTATAAGAAGAGCCTTCCTAAAATAGGATCTTATGGCACAGTGCCAATGCATGAACTGAGATCAAAAGAAGCTGGTTTGAAATTTTGTTCTAATCCAAAACCAGCCATTCAGACCATATCACTTCCACATACCCTCAACTATCATGACAGTGGAGGTTGTTTTGATGTTATGTACAAGACAGCTCTCTCCAACAAATTGACTGTCAATAAATGATGCATTGGAAGTGTTTATCGACAAAAAATGAAATAAGAATACGTCATTGTCAATAAAGCTGAAAAGAAGAGATTTCAATAAAACTTTCACATAAAGTAAAACCAAATTCTTAAATGGCAATGAAACGGGCACACCTTAATAATGTAGAGTCCGAGAGAACATGGATGTAAGGTTGCCAAATAATTGCAAGTAACATCAAGGCCGTTCCTACATCACATTAGAGGCCACCGTCACTAAGAAGAATTGTACTCCAATCCTCAAGAAAATTGCCTAAATTATCTTAAGAACATGCATGTCAAAAGTGCCGAAATATAATTAAAAACCAAGGGTAGAAGAAAATAATGAAGGAGTCAAGAGTTAACAGGTTAGTTGAGTGCCGTTCCAGAAGCCATGATTTGTGATTGTACGGTCCCCTATCATTCTCAGAAATGGTAGCCTACTTCGAAAAAAGTTTAAACACTCCATTAATTAAACACGAAGCCATGCCTCAGCCATTCACATTGCCCTAGGCTTCAGGATCCAACTTTTCTTCTAAGGAAATTAATGAATAGATTAAAATGTATGCTTTATGCACTGAAAACACTTCTACGCTGCCTTACAAGCATTTCCGACATCATCAAAGATGGCCGCAAAAATAGAATCCATAGATGATTGGATTCTAATTGCTACAGTGCTACAATACTCTGGGCTTTAGAAAATAACACAGATAACTATTGAACATTGGATCGTCATCACAGAGCTGTGATCATTCCAGTGATTATACACTAACATTAACCGGTTTTTATTCAAGAAACATATGCCAACCAAATATTACGGCTGGTTTCAGTACTTATCCAATCCTTTCCATAAGAGAGAGCTGGGAGAGGGATTGTCAGCATTTGACTGTTTGGTCTCATCAGGGACAGAGGCTCCAAAATCATTGTCAAATCTTCTAACGCTTCAATCAGATAGGCGATCCAGGGCTAAGCTCATGACAATAATAATAATAATGGTTGTTCTCATGATGTAAGTTATAATCCTAGCATGTACCAATAAAGTTTAAAATATTTTGATCGATGCCAGAGAAGACTAGTTATGATCATACCCTAGTATCTACAAATACGGAATGAAACAATCAAAGTTCAGCAATGATGGGATCCAACAAGTGAAAGACACTTAAACAGCCACAGTAACATGGAATGTACCTGCATTTTCAAAAACTATGCATTTTGCTTTTCCTGTGTGGAAGACGTGTTACATTATCGCCATCTTATTCTTCTTGCACATTAGATGATTGTGGTCATTATTATTTCTATACCACCGATAGGAGGGAGACTTAAAGAAGAAAATATCACATCCTCCTAAGAATAAGTATGAAAAAGGAAAGCATTTCCATAAAAGTATACAGAAGGATGTCCTGTGTTCGAGGCACACTTTGACAAGGTCTGTGACACAATTAATTGAGAAGCACGTTCTAAATAAACTGTCCCCAATAGGTTCAGGAAAGAGTTGAATCGACTGAACAACAGAACTATACACCACTACCAGATGTTGACCATCAAATAACATGCGGTTATTTTGGCAGTACAAGAGGCTGGAGCCAAGAGATGCGGTTCTATTTGTCATTATAAACCTAAATAATGGTACTGAGCCAAGAAAAAGGGAGTGATAGGAGCTTGAACTGGAATGAGAAATTCAACGCACACCTTTGTGGTGTGCTGATGACAATTATAATACTTTTTGAAAACCCAAGAGGGTACGTAAGGTATTCCGTTTAACTTCTGAAAAAGTGAGATGGCCTTATGGGACTCTCAATGAATGAAGGGAAGAGTTATGTTAGGCATCCATTTGTTCAGTTAAAGTACCAGTGGCTACGTTTATCTGAAAGTATGATCTCTTACTGATCAGAGCAGAGATCTCTTAACAAGTTGTAAGCTTGATCGGTAACAGCCATGACCAATCTAAGAAATCATTTCTTGTTGACCATGAAAGCGTCAAGCATGGTAGAAAGGCTAAGTTAAATCATGTTAGGCTTCCTTTAGAGAAGCATAAAATCAGGTTATCATGGGAACTACTTGATTGTAGAGCGATATAATGCATAAGAGCAAGCCAGAACGAGGTAGGCCATTCTGGCATTTCTAATTTGAGTATAGTAACCCAAAACAGGATGAGATGGCATATGCATTACACCAGATTGAATGATAGTTATGTAATATTGCATATGCATATGAAAATAAAATTAACTTAAATTATGCATAAATAATATTAAAATATCAGCCAAAAAAAACTACGCCAGAAATTTGGTCTTTTCGTGCACTTGATTAAATGTCCATGCATGTCAAGTAGCAGTAAATATATCACTCAAATGTTAACACAATAAACGCAATGAAATGACATATAGTTCAAATCATTCAAAAAATCAAACGTTTTACCTTAAGAGTTCATTTGGGACAACAAACCCAAAAACCAAAATGGAAAGTGCATCTCTTGTAGAGATACAGACACATGAATTGCAGATTTCATGTAGTAGTGGTTGCAACTTAAAAACAAAGGACACTATCTTTACTAACAGAAAGTGTATAATGATGAAATTTACACAATGCGCACCATAGGAAACTGTGGCGAATGGAAGACGAACAATGTGCTTCAATTTCTGGCTGAAAATATAATAACCCTACAACCATAAAATTAGCAATGTTTATCCGTGTCAAATTAATTAATTCATTAAACAAGTAATTAAAAAATCAATTCGCTGTCCCATTATCTGAGAAAAATACATCAACTTATCCAGAAAAAAGAGAAAAATAAAACCACTAGTACGGAGCAAGCAGAAGTCAGTGCATAGAAATTCTCTGGTTTTCCAACTTCTGCTGTTTGTTGTTCGTTATAATCACAAGAGGGTTGGGAAGGCACACAACATATGTGAGATCCAATTAAAAATAAAGCAGTAATCTGGGAATAACCTTGCAAAGGATCACCAATGTGAGAAGCGGCATGGTAAATAAGCATCTAAGTTCTTTGCAAGATTGATGGGAGACATGTGCACCTAAATATTTTTTGTGGTACAATGCATTATTGGTGTAACCAGGTGTTAAAATTCTAATGAGCACATGGTTTGTGCGTTTAGAACCTTTATGTGATAACAGATGTCAATCACTATCAAAGAGAAAAAACTTTCAGAGTTCATACATGAGAAGTAATACCTGCAATCGCACTTTCCTAACTTGATACACCCAATATTGTTGAAAAAATCCTATAATGCATATCACAAGTGGTTGTAATTAGGACACGTCCATGACAGCAATTGTGACGAATGATAGCTATTAAAAAAACAAATCGTGGCCACGAATTTTTTCTAAATAGAAGCAATGCACTGCCTATTTTCTATCACATAATTACAGCACTGTCTTATTACAAGTTATATCTAATTTCAAAGTCAAGAATCTCATAAGTGCCATCATGTGTGCCATAGGATGGCTGAGGGCAGTCAAATGCATGAACATAATATAGATAAGTGAGAAGTTCAACCTACCTGATAATGTCTGAGTTTTCCTCGTCATCACTTGGAAAATGATTTTAAAATTTATTATTAAATGGCTAGTCTCACTTCAGGATGGAGATGGTAGACAAGGAGACGTTCTCAAACACTTGTCAGGCATCAAGCTTAGGTAGCAGTTATGCATCACTTGGGCACCATGGGAATTACCATCAACATATGGTTAAGTCAGCGGCTCAAAGGTTTCTCCCTCAGTTCCCTTCCCCTTGCTCCCTCTATCAACCCTCTAATAATTCCCTTCGTCTATTTGGCTCTCTTTCCATAGCCGTGGTGGTCATCTCTCTTTCTGTAGACTAGCCATCCACATACATACTTTTTCACCTTTGATCCACTGCTAACCTCCATTTTCCTGTCCCATAAAAGTAACATGATAGCCATGAGTATCCATACTAATCAGTAACGCTAAATTCATTTTAATTGCCTCATGAAAGTCTGTTTTTTGGTACAAGCTTCCAGTGGATTAAGTCATTCGAATGGGCCTTTTCATTATTTAAAACGTGATAGCCAATTATTATTGCTTAAATGGGATCATGTTTACCATTACAGGAGTTTGAGTCTTTTCACATTCCTATCAGTTTTGCATCTTTATTAGACAGTAACTGAGAGTTATAGCGTCATGCTTTCTATGTTTTGGATTAGTCACAAGAATTTCTCACCGTTGTAAATGATTAAGGGTATTGAAGACATTTGAAAACAGGATTATATCGCTACCTCCATAAGCCAAAGGGCTAACTTAAACTTGCATCAAACAAGGGAGAGACATCTAGTTTCCTGGAACATTATCGTATCAAGAGGTGGAGTCCTCAGCTAACTTATTTTTGTAGGTGATCTCCACCATCCATCCAGTTCACTTTTTAACTTCTTCTGTCTGATATCTTCATTGTCCTATGTCAAGGTCAAGAAGAGTCACACCGAATACATTCATTAGGAGCTAAGTTTCCTTAAATAGAAAAATCTATTTATACCTGTTCTGAGAAAATAACCACCTCCCATAGTTTTAACACGTTAAATCAAAATGATCGCATATACTGTAGAACTTGTTCCAGGTAACTACAACTAAGTTTAGAGCAGGACGCGTCTTATTGATTAAAATACGAAATAACATTAAATTTCCACCGTCATCTGCTAAATTATTTTAACTTAAATAGAAGATAAAACCAAAGTAAAGAGAGAAAATAAAGATAGATGGTAATAGGCTGACGGAGGAAGAGCTTTGGACGAATGAATTGTACCTGTGACCACCAAAAGAACAACATTACAGCTGCAAAGCAATGGAGGAATTAATTTGGGAATTAAGCAGAAGATCCATGGTGCTGCTGCGGCCACAGCAGCATAGCCTGCCTAACAAATAAAAAAGTGGACGAGCCAGGGAGGCGCATTAAGTTTTACTGAACAAAAGGCGCAATAAATATAAACAACTTACTAGTAAGAAGCAATATAGGACACTGCCAAGGATTCTCGCTCGCTGACGCTGAGCAGACAATGGAGCTTCATCCAGCACGTCCTGGAAACTGTTTTCCTCGACATAGGAAAAAGCTCTCAATCGTCAGGGGATGAATTAAGCACATATAATTAAAGCACAATTCATAAATAAATGATCTAAAATCTCCCTGCACAGACCGAAAGAGAAGCAGGCGAGGTGTTTCCCTGGAAGAAAAAAGACCCACACGACAACCGCCATCCGAGGAAGATACAGAGATCCAGAGTTTTCTACCGTATCTCCACCGTCAGGAAAAAAAAAAAAGGCATCCAAAAGAGACGCTTACAGATTGTTCTCCTCCGCGGAGGCGGTCGAAGCGTAGATCCTGTCACGCGACATTGGCCTCCTCCTCCTACTCTTCCCGCCCGGCTCCCCCACCCCCCTCCCACCGCTGAGATGGGAAGAAGTGTGTTAAGATTACAATAAATCGCTAAAATAGTTGAGTTTATTCATGCATAAACCGTTGAGATGGCCGAGTTGGTCTAAGGCGCCAGATTAAGGTTCTGGTCCGAAAGGGCGTGGGTTCAAATCCCACTCTCAACAGAGTTCTTAGTTTTCTTTATTTCCCCTGGACTTTTCTATCTCTACCACTTATTTTCACTTTCTGAAACTATAAAAAAAACGTAATCCACTATTTTAAAATTAAAAAAATGAAATAAATGGGATGCCAGCACAGTTAGTGTATTGACCTCATTCGATCGATCCGTTATGAGCGTCTTTTACCAATTTGGACGCAAATATTTTATTTTTTAAAAAAATAAAATTATCTATACATAGAATTACAAAAATTTCATGCCAATTATTTGTCAATCAACTGCCGGGCTGACAGAAATTATTCAATTTTAAAAAATAAAATCTTTTGATGACGTCAAAATTATGTCAATTGACGTCCTACGAAGAACCCGCGTACAACTGTCTGATTTCCGGACGATGAGAATACGTAGACAATAAAATAAGTTGAGGGTTGGAATGTAATATTCCAGCTCCCGCGGAGTGGATAAGAGTACAGCTTCCCTCAGCTTTCATATTATTAATAGAATTTCAATTGGGGCACCTGGGAAATTGTGGAATCTTCTTTTCTGCAATAATATCACTCCCATTCACCCCCCCCCCCGGCCCCTCTCTCTCTCTCACTCTCTCTCTCCCTCTCTCCCTCTCTCCCTCTCTCTCTCTCTCTCTACAGCGGAGCTGCGGCGTTCCTCGGCGATTGGAGGATGTCGATCGCGCTGGGGAGGAGCGGCGAAGGGACGGAGTTTGGCCGGGGGATCGCCGGCATGGCGGCGTGGGGATCGGCGGAGATCGCCGCCGGGAGGAGGCTTCCGGCGGTGGCGGCGCCGCCGCGGGGGAAGGGGAAGGGGGAGGACGGGGGGGACTCGGCCTGCTGCAGCTCCTCGATAGGGAGCAACAGCGACTGCTCTCGGAGCGACGACTCGGGGGAGCCGGAGGTTCAGAGCAGCCTGAAGGGGCCGCTCGAAACCATGGATGCCCTAGAGGACTCCCTGCCGATCAGGTACCTACCTTCTCCGCCGTCCTCGCTTCGTGATTCTTGCTGTTGGCGAATTCTGGAAAAGTTTTCCGAATTCGTTGGCGTCGTTGAGTGGAATCTGGAGGGATGGGAGGACCTCGACGGAGCAGATGAATGAATGAAAATCGAGGGGACGACGGTGGCGATTCGTAGAAGAGGAGAGAGATTTCTGTGTCGAATCAAGTTGAAGGACGAAGAATTTATTCTGTGGTTCCTCAGTTCATCCATCTTGTGGACGTCGGTCTGTGGATCGTCTTCTTCTTGATGAAGTGAAATCCCCTCAGCCTCACAGTGCGCCCGGTTCCTCTGCTTCTGCAGGCGAGGTATCTCCAGGTTCTACAATGGCAGATCGAAGTCCCTCACAAATCTTGTAGAGATCTCTTTCTCGTCCTCCGCCAGGGACCTCGCGAAGCCGGAGAACGCCTACACCCGCAAGCGCAAGAACCTGCTGGGCTCCTGCAGCAGCCGTGGTGAGCGGCGCCGCCCCAGCGACACGCCGGCGATCGCTGGAGGGAACATTCCGAAGAGGCCGACAAATTCCCGCCGAGCGACGATCTCCCCCGCCGGCGGCACGAGCAGCTCCGACAGCAACAGCGTAGAGGAGGAGACGGAGCCCTCTGCACGGCTGCGCCCGCCGAGGCATCCGAACGCGAAGAACTCCTCCCTCACCCCCTGCGAAGGCTCCCCGCCTCGGAGGTGCCATTTCTCCGTGCGATCCTTTTCCCTTTCCGACATTGCAGGTTGCAATCGCTAGTAGATCTTCCTCCTCCGGCATGACCAGGGCCAGCTACCATGAGGGTCTCCATTAACCTCTCGCCCTCTCTCTCCTGTCTGATATCAAGATAGATGATAAGGCATCGTCCTCCCCTCTGACTCTCCCTGCTGAGAGAGAAAGGGGTCTGTAAAAATTCCCGTTCTCAATTTTCCGCACATCTCTCTCTCTCTCGCTATTTCCACCTATCTTCATTCACATTCTCCCCTTTTCTGCGCCACTCCGACTCTTGGCGATGCCGGTGCCGGAGAAGACGACGGCGGGTGATCGCGAACGATTCGTCTCCGAGTCAGGGGGGAAAACTCGGCATAAGAACCTTCTGAACCCGGCCCGGACCGGTTCCGGTTTTAGATCCGAACCGATTGCATATTAGGGTCGGTTGTTGGGTAGAAAATCAAAGCTGGAAAGGGCTGGTTCGCGACGACGTTCCTTCTTCCCTTCCTTCAGGCGACCGGCGGCGGTTTGAGCCTTCGGGAGGAGGAGCGCCGCCGGAGAGGTTGGCATGCAGGCAGAGCGGCGAGTGGAGGGCAGCGATCATGTCTTCGCGCGATCAGACAGCGGCGGCGATTCTCGCCAGCGTCGCCATGGCCTGTGACGGAGCGCTGGTAGGGGTCGCCCTGGCCTTCGTCGCGGCCCAGACGTGGGCCAAGTACCATCGCTCATCCGCCGCCCTCGGCAAGATACGCAGAGCTCCCTCGGCTCGAGTGGCGGACCTCCGAGAAATTCTTCTCTCCTCCGATGAGGAATCGTCCTCCTCCGGATCTCCCTCCATGTCGTCCGGCGACGCGAGGCTCGTGGTCGTTCGCGGCGAGGTCCAGACGAGGTGGTCTCCGGGATCGAAGAACAGCGGTGCCCTGGTCTCCCAGGGTTCCGGCGAGAGGGCCGTCATCGTGCAGAGAACGTCGACGGTAACGGCCCCTCGATTCACACATCGGAACCTTACCTCTCTTCTTGTGATTTTTCTTTCTCTCGTCTTGTTTGCTCTAATCCTCGTTCTCCGCTCCCTTCCCTCCCCTTCCAATTCAGCTCATCTTGAGTTTCGCGTTCTTGTGGGTGCCCGTTTTTGCATTGATGTCTCACGAGCTCTCATCACTTGTACAGTGCTTGTACAGCGAGTGGCGTGGTATCTTCGGATGGAGTATTGATCTCCATGCACTCTTTGCCAAGACATGGAAAGAACAACACTCGAGCTCTCTGCGGACGGTGAGACACTGTAGCATATTGTTCCGACGATGAATAAAATCTTAATTCGTATTTCTGGAATCGCGGGAAGTTCCGAGGATTTTAGTATGGAATATGGTTTACAGCCAAGTGAGAAGTTGACATTTCCTTCTTCACCGTCACAAAAAAATAAAGAAAAACGTACTTCTGGATAGTCATTTGAGATTTAAATGTACATGGTTAATTGAGGACCTTTTGATATAGTTTCTAGAAGAAATTTCCTAGTACATTTCATGAAGCCCATCAAATTGTTTCCTGAAATAAAGGGTTCCTGACAAGACTTCTTTTGATATTTTAGTTTTAAGAATGTGGCCAAAATAGGATGATTTTATTAGAGTGGTCAGTCACATTGGGATCGAAAATTCCTTCATGGAACATTAAGCTGGGATAAGATGTGGGAAAGCAGATTCGAGTGCAGGTCAACAGCTTCCTTAATAGAACTAATTGTCCTTGGCGATCTCTGAGTGGTGCATTCAAGAATGGAGAAGAGAATGGAGAATGTCTTTTACTAGGCGTATCCCACGTTATTAGCTTCCTGCTTACTACATTCCTTTTGTTCCTTTTATGTTTTGACCAGTGGAAAGTAATGGATTGTTTTGTGAGCTCAGGAGGGGTATGGCATGAGGAACTTCTGTCCTTTCTACGTTCTTATTTTTTTGTTTAGGGTGATTTGTTGTGTGGAATTAGTTCTGGGGCTTGTTTATAGGATGGAAGGTTTCTCCTTGGTGAGAGTAGGCCACATCAGTTACTCGTGCACAGATGTAAGGGAAGTGTTGAATGAAAAAATGAGGATTGATAATTCGGGTTTCGTGCTAAGGTAACTGGCAGTAACGTGGTTGAGAATTAGGTTTGATAATTCCGCTGTTGTATGGATGAACATTATTCAAAAGTAACTGGTGGGGACTGCTAGATAACTGGTTGCTCAATAGCCAAGGTTAGAAACATCACATCTTATCTTGAGAGACCTTGAAGGAATTTAGAAATGTAAAGTACTAGTGTTCCAGCATTAGGAGCATGATCGCTAATTGTGATACCTTGTAATTTGTGAGCAGATGTTAGGGCCTTTCCCAGACTGATCGGGTGAGGTTCCTCTTGCTTTGGATATTGGCATGGTATTGAAGAGATATGATTGACCTGTAAAGCCCTTCTTCTTGTTCAAAGGGACATAATTTTATAGAATTACTTATTTTATGTGAAACAGAATATTCATGGAGTGATGACCGCTGATTTATCATTTCTTTTTGGACACTTACTGAGAAACTGTTGTGTGAGTTATCTATAAACTCAAATTGATTGGAGGGGCTGCATGAGGAACATCCTAGACCATAGATATTACAGGAGGCAACAGAAGGTAACAAATGTTCTGCTTCTGAGGTCTAGTATGCCGCCAGCAGGGAGACTTTCCCAAAAGAGCTGATGATTCGCAAGAGACAAATTTGAATCAAAGTGGCAATGGAAAAGTAGGCATTTTTCTGGAAGGTGACTCCAGTTTCAACAAGATGTTTAATGGGGTGTTTCAAGCTTTAGATATGCATACTATTGAAAAGAAAAAGGTGGGGAGCTTCTTTCTAGACCTGTATTGTACAATTTTATGGTCCTTCTGTGGGTAAGAACAATGAATCTCACAGGTGAAAAGCCTCATGGACACTTGCGTTGATTTAAAATTGGAGGTACGAAAAATGAGCCACTATTTAAGTTAATGTTTTCGATGTAAAGGTAAATGAGATTCATTCTATGGGAAAACCTGGAGTCGAATGAATTAGGCCAAACTCATTAGTCAAATGAATGAGTGTAAAGATGGATAATGTTGTCAATCGATGTTTTGCTTTTAGCAATTGTGCTTTGTATCATCATTGATGTAAGAATAATTTAAGGGTATCATTTGTATGTATCATGGACATTGTCCTTTTAATGACGATTTTGATCCTGCTTTTTACTTGCAACAGAGGGCTAAAGTAGGTCTAGCATGCGGTTATTTCATCCACTCAACTTAGCTTTAGGAGATCAAATTTTTAGACCATCTTTACACGTTCATTACATCTTTTTGTTAGGAATGGGTTATAGAAGACCAAATTAAGATATATCTGCAGCTGGTCTTATTGTTTTCTGGAATACTGGATGGAGAACGACCTCGTCTTTGAAAGATGGCTATTTTATTGAATAAACATACCTGAAAGTACAGGCTGAAATGTGCTGAGAGCAATTTCCTTTGTGCTTCCACTGTCTGTAGGCGTTAGTGTAGCCTATTCTTTTCAACCGATATACGTTTAAGGGGTAACGATAAATTCAAAATAAATTCTACAATTTGCTTTACTCTTTTTGTTTATTGACGTTTATTGACTGCTTTGATTCTTTTTTTTTCCCCTTTCCTGCAGGTGCCTTTTGTTCTTGTTGACGACGGTTATTGGCCTCACAGAGAGTATGTTAATGTAACGTTGGAAGGTTCAACACATCCTTTACCTCTCACGACTGTCTATCATCAGCTACTGCCTGTTCAGGCCACGACATACACTTTTATACAGGCCATGTTTGGTCATGGATACCCTGTATGTTTTTGTCAGTAATTGAATATGATTGTGGCCTTTCCTCTCGTTGGCTTTTCTTTCTCATCGCTTTGCTTTGTGAACTCTTCGATGAAAGGTTGCTTTACTGGACGAAGAGAAGATTCTTCCAGTTGGGAAGGAAATTACTGCAGTCGGTCTTTGCAGCTGGAATGGTGGTGTTCTCGAGATGAAATCATCTGATGACCTTCCATGTTTCTTGTAAGTGCTTGGTATTTTTTTCCTTTTTCATATTCTAGAAACATGTCTGTTTCTGACATCCAGTCTGCTGATCAGCACTTCATTACCTTTCTTAATGTTGCTTACTTTCATTTCATCGTTTTTCTGTACACTATCAACAGACGGATGCTACATTTGTTAGGCATGAAGCTTCGTAGCTATATACTTCTACTGCGATACTTTATCTCTCATTGTTCGTATTGTTTTGATTGCAATTATTTTTCAGTCATACCAAATGAGTATCATGTATGAATTGTCATCTATATATAGTTTGGTGGGCACTAATCCACAGTGATTCAAGACTGTAGGGCCTATTTTCTCAAGGACATAATTAGACATCTGTAAATTCTGCTTAGCGCTGCCTCCTCTCTTATTGAGGTTTCGGACATGAAGCCTGGCAACATCCCAGTGTCTCCCTTTTAATCCAACTTGCTGCAACCACCCTGAAGCTACTCAATCAGCACAAGAATTGCTGTGTTGCCAATCTTAAGGAGCTGTCAGAACTGAAGCTGATCTTATCAAAGATCCATTCGAATGAGTATATACGAAACATGCTTTAGGTTCTGGGCCATACATGGCTGATTTCACCCAAATACACTTGAAATCTCTGGTCATTCCAACTTTCCTCCTTGGGTTCCATTCTTATCTATGATATTTGGAAGAAGATCGAATGCGCTACAGTGTTGACTATCTTAACCTTCAAAGGCTACCCTAGAAACTGAGTAGACGGTGAATTTGCGCTGCTACCCTGGTTTAGACCCATCAATTAATCAATTGGGACGTACATGATTATGTGATTATAACCTTTTTTTCCCGAATTCTTAGCTTTGTGAGTACAAGGTCAACGATCTGGTGGGGAAATATTCCCATGGAACCTGGATTCTGATGATGCTGAGTTCTTTTATGGTAAAATATTCTACTCTCTCTGCCAGGTCGGACTTGTCAAAGAGCGAGATGGAAGCGGATCTGACCCTCAATGTGAACATCCTCCTGTGGAGTGGCATCTTCCTCGGAGTACTATCCATGGGCATTCTCGGCTACGCCGTTCGAAGGTATCATCATCTCGCATTAGATATAATTTCAACCGACGTGTGGTCGCAACAAGCCAAGCCAATCCAAGCTGATCATCACAGATATTCCCACGTTGACCAAACGTTTTTCCTTTATTGGAAAGTCAAAACCCGAAGCCTCTTTGGGTGCAGAAATTGGCGGAGATTCAAGGATTGGCGGAGCAGAAGGCGGCTCCGCAGCGAGTCGAGCCCGAGTGAAGGGGAGGAGCCCAACGACGCAGAGGAAGAGGAATCGGGGGAGGTTCCCGACGGAGCGCTCTGCGTGATCTGCCTGACGAGGCAGCGGAGGTGTGCGTTCATTCCCTGCGGCCACCGGGTCTGCTGCTTCCCCTGTGCGGCGGCCGTGAAGCGTGATTCCTCTCCCAAGTGCCCCGTCTGCCGACAAGACGCCCCCAATTTTGTAAGGATCTTCGACTCCTGACTTCCGATCCCCCCCCCCCTCCCCCCACCACAACACTTATAGATGTAAATAACCATGAAATATCGTGGCTCTTAAAGATGGGTCTGATTTGCATACCTCTGTACCATGAATTCTTGATGCTGATCTTTTAGATGCAGATCTAAAATGGGTATCAATCTACCAGTCAATCAAATAGTGGAGAAAAACAGTATATGGATGAAGAGCTTTGACTAATCTGTCGTTTTTTATTATTATTACTATTATTTAATTTTTTATGTAGAATTTTGGGCACTAAGTGGTGAACCTCCTTCTAGTAAGGGTGTTGATCTCAATGGGTATCAATCTACCAGTCGATCATATGGTGGAGAAAAACAGTATATGAATGAAGACCTTTGACTAATCCGTAATTTTTTTGTTTTCTTTTATTTTTTTATTTATTTAATTTTTGTATGTAGAATTATGGGCACTAAGTGGTGCGCCTCCTTCTAGTAAGGGTGCAGAGCTAAATGGGTATCAATCTACCAGTCAATCATATCGTGGAGAAAAAAAGTATGAATGAAGAGTTTTGATAATCTACCTTTATTTATTTATTTGTTTCTTTATTTATTTATTTGTTTCTTTATTTAGTGGAGAATTATCGGCACGAAGTGGTAGAGCATGTGCGTTGCACGTGGATAGAGGAATCTTGGGGTTAGTCGAATGGGGGGGGGGGGGATTACTTTGTTGAAGTCCACCCTGTTAGCATAGAATGTGATCTCTTTCTACCTCTTCCCTTTGTCAAAGATCATCAGACAGATTTTGGCAGGATCACATGGGCCCCACTATAAAAGGGCAGGTCAAATTTCCACATCAAGACTAACGGATCAAGTGCAGTTGGGTTGGACCATCAGATTCTCTGAAACTAGAAAGAGAGAGAGAGAGAGAGAGAGAGAGAGAGAGAGGGAACCACCCAGCCGAGTTCGTCTCGTCTAGAAGGTGGAAGGTTCTACTACGCGGAGTGGGCGGCGGCGGCGGAGTTGGTGGCCTCTAACGTCACCTCCCCACCAAAACCCAATGAAAGCCAGCACATCGGTGGAAGTCAAAGATCCCGACAGCCGCCCCGCTCGACGCGCAGAGTAGCGGTATTAAACCAGAAGGGGGCTTCCCCCGGACGGTAACGGGATCCAGCAATTCCAACGGCCTTCAGTCCAATGCGTGGAAAAGTGGAGTACCCTTTTTTTTTCCGTGTCTTTTTCATGTTATTTCTCCTCCCCTTTTCCCATGAGAGCCAAGCAGGACCCTCACCACCACCAAATATCGCAATCTTTACCTAAAATAGAATTTATGATTTTTTATTATCGAATTAATAGGGGAAAATCAGAAATATAACCACCCCCCTGACAAGGGTTCCTGGGGACGACGAGCTCCATCAGCTAAACCAAAAAAAAAATGAATTTTCTTTTTTTATATACTTTTCTGTGGAACCCATAGAAAAGTACAAATAATATCCGGCCCAGATTTTTTTAACATCGTTTTCGGATTTCTTGTTCAAAGCCTCATTTAATTTCCTTTTATGTCATTTTTAATATTAAGTCAACTCATACTTCTTCTGTTATCCGGCTCAGATTCCTTGTTGGCTGCCCGGTCAACCAAGAATTCGATGACGTAGATATTTATAACTAATAATAATAATAATAGAGCAAAAATAGCTCAGATATATCCGATTTATGAAGATTTAAAAAACCCCTAGAGAGGAGACTACAGCCATCCCTTCGTCATCTTGGAAACATGCAGCCCAGCACGAGCAACGACCTCATCAATCCTTGCCACCATGGAATATGACACAAATACCCATATGGAAGAAACAAAGATAACCCCACTTAGGCCGAAAGTTGTCGGGAATTTAGATGGGAATTGGGGGTATGTAAGTCATTTAAAGTATAGCGTGTCTGGGACTGGGTCCACCTTCGTCTTGCTCGTTCCTGGTCGGAACGGGTCGCAGTTCCCCGGCGACCCGTATAAAGTACTCTTCTTTGCAGGTTGCTGCAATCGAGCTCATCGTCTGGAATCGTTCTCCTTCGCCTTCGTCTCCGGCGAACGCTCGCGCAGGAATTGGGTTACCCATCTGCAGATCCTCGTCGGGGCAGGGTGAGGAGTTGCTCGGAGGAAGAAGAAGACCAGCAGGAGAGAGAGAGAAAGGATGTGTCCCCTGCGCATCATCCTCGTGTTCCTCTCCGCCACCCTCGCCGGGTACTTCGCCTGGAGGTCGGTGCGGTCGCCCGCCCCTTCCCCATTCGACCTTCCCGGCGGTGAGGTGGACGTCGACGAAAGCACTTCTGAGAAGACCGAGCGTTTTCAAATGGGAAAGGTAGTCTCCCCTCCTCTCTCTCTCTTCTGTATTTCCCCGTTTCTCCAAATTAACGGCTGTTGGGCCTTTTCGTTTGCAGGCGATCGGGAAGGGATTCTGGGTGTTCGTGGACATGGCGAGCGGGAGGTACCTGTGGAGAAATCTCGGCGCGGCGGCGGCGGAGCCCGCCAAGGACAGCTGATGGGCGGCGTCCTTCGATGGGGTGGGGCTCTTGATTTGTCCGTGTTGGGTATTCAAATCCTGCGGCAGGGATCTGTAATTAGCTAGCCGTTGACCCGAGAAAGATATAGAAACGAAGGTAGACGATCTGAAAGCGTGTGAAATCATAACTTGAATTTCTTCTGTTCACGATTATGCTCTCCACAATGACGGCTCCTCCATGATTTCGCCTTGGGAAACGATTACTGCTGCGTCAGATTGCATGCCTCGAAGAAATCTTCAGCAGTACGATTTTCTCGTCCAAATCTTGCAGATATAATGAATTAAAAAAAAAAATTGAATTGGGGCAAAAAGCTGATCTGTAGAACAGGAGAGCTGATGTGATCAGCCATAGCTTTGTGAAGTGGGATCATATTATCTCAGAATTATGGGGGATGAGACCCACAAATAGATCCCTATAGGCCGGGAATTGACATAAACTTGGTTATTTGAGCTGATTATTAGAAAATCCAGCGCAATTCCTCGAACATTGTATGACTTTGGAAAAAAAAGAAGAAGAAAATCTACCGGGATAAGTGGGAGTGCCTATGAATGATTGACCTCAAGGCTAAATCAGAAGTCTTGAAACAGAAAGAAAGATCCAGAGTCTGCAGACTGGATTCTCAGAGACAACTTAAGAAGTTCCGATTGTGGGATGAAGAAGAATGAGATTCTCAGCACAATTTTTCACAAAAAAAAAATGATCACAGATGAGAAAATTCCTAAAATTACATAGAATAACCAAAATCAAACAGAAGGTTCCATCTGGTGCAGTATGAAATACATGGATTATTGAAAAGGAATCAGCAGTTCCTAAACTAACATTAGATAGAAAATTTCACTAACGTTAAAAGAAATCGTCAGAGCCTCATGTGATCAGCCTACTTAAAAGAAAGCCAGATGAACTGAAAGCAATCAGAAATATCTACCAAGTCAAGTGGTTCAAGGAAAGGGTGATGACAGAGAGACCATAAGAGTGGGTGGAGAGAAAATATTCCCTGTAATTGTCAATGAATGTATGATACCTGTCAGAACCATTCACCCAGCTATTTCCAAAGTCAGAAAAGGAAAACTTCATGGGCCAGCCTGATACTCTGAGACCCACTGTTTCGGGCCAATTAATAAAAAAAATTAAAATAATGCAGGAGAAAATACCAACTTTTATAGCTCAATAGTTTAGAGATTCAGAGGAGGGAGGAATCTTTGTGATACATGATAATCAAGAAACGACTGAAGGAAAAGAGCTGTCGTGTTTAAGAAACATGGAAATTTTTAGTGTATATAATTGACATTCATTACCAGATGTTTTCATCTAACCAGAAACAAAAAAAAATCATTATTCAAGAAAAAATAATAAAACATGAAAAAAAAAAAAACGTCAAAAGACTTGAGACGCGAAGAAGGGTGTGAGAATTTCTGTGATGTATAAAATATGCAGAAGCGATGATGAAAACTGCTGAAATAGTTTTCAAGATGGGTGTGTTCTTGATCAACTAAACTTTCCAAAATCACAAAGATCAAGGGCTAGCAGTTGTAGATTTTTTTTTTTTTTCCAACCTCTTCTACTGCAGTTCTGCTCAAACAGCTTCATCCAGTGAAAAGCAGAAACTTATATACCGAAAGTCTTTTTAAATTCCAAATTGCACCGCAACAGATACAGTTCAAGAGGCCTACAAAAGGCTAATGGTGCACTGCTTTTCTCATCTCTTATATGGAAAAAAAAAAAAAACATCTATTGATCAGGAACGCTATGTATGATTATTACAGATGAGAGTTTAGACTTTCTCATTCTTCATTACAGGAAGAACTCTCGCCAAGGTGGAATAGAACAAGAAAGTTTGGAAGACAGGGCAACACAAGTCAACCAATAAGTTATTAAATTCACAGAAATGAAAGTAAAAATTTCTTGGGAAACGGTCATTTAAATTAGTGAAATATAATGATTCAGCATTTACCAAACCTTAGAAACTCTAAAGTATTAAAGCCCCAGACGAGTAGTTAACACTGCGTCAGACCTTACCATGAGCATGTCATCTTGCCTGAACGACATGAATGGCCCAGGTAGAATATGAGAATCGACGTCGTTTGTCACTACTGTAAGGAACTGGCAGGATGACTGAGTTTTCACTGAAAAATATACAGACAAAGATGGAGCGAATGGAAAATCAGAAATCCATATCACACAAGTGACTCAGCCTGATAACAAGATATACAGAAAAATGACATTGGAAGAGTGATCGAAACATACAGAAATATACCACCAAATCTCTTTCATCTTGATCAATAAAAAGGGAGAGGGTGAGTCTTTTGATCGAACTAGATGTCTTCATTTGTCGTTTCAAGCACCAATATGACAGTAACATTTACAAAATTGTATTTCTCAGTATAGTGAGAAAACAAATGGCTTCTGCTCACAACAATGCATTCCAGTGAACGTCACACTTCAATCATCAGTTAATATTGAGTCACAAATATTTATCATCAAGTGAATGATCACAGAATGATAATCTCATGAAAATGATACGTCTATCGAGCCTTTATTTGCAACATAACATTTTGGTTCTTCATTTATATTTCATATGATGAACAGGTTATAAGGGTTTGACTTTTCAGACTATAACGACAGGTGTCCAAATATGACAGCATCAAAGGCGTATAAAGTCTTCGCCGCACCTATGCTCGAATGATGAGAGCGTTTTACTTTTGTAGCCAATGCGAAGATAATTGCCCATGTCTGCTATTTTACCGCACCAATCTTAGGAGGATTTCGAGCATGTTGCCCATATAAGGGTTTATATCCTTCTTTTGGATGCTCTGTTACGTTGCCCATATAAGTTTTGATATTATTTGATCCGGCATTTAAATTATCATGATGGATGGACTATGAACTGTACCGACTGGCCCCGAGTGTTTCATTATCCTAAAGGCCAGTCCTTTACAGGCTTGCTTTGCCCAGAGACGGCACATAACCGTGGCCCATGCATGGTTCGACCCGCCAGGCCAAACCATGACTCAAAGATTTCCCTCTGAGACTCACTAGAAACTCCCTCCGAGGCCTACAGACATAGGGCATGGGGAAGGTCATCCGCGTGCACCTGGGATCTCGAGCATGCCACAGTCCAGTCTGTCCTCTTTGCAAACCTCTCGTACCCTAGGGAACTAAACCAAGCCTTTACCTGCACAGCTCTAGCTCGATCCTACAGCCGCCGGGGACAGCATAGACGCTGAGTATTGCAGCCATGGGAGAATCCCGAAGGATGAATGAGCGTGTTCCTCTCTTTAGGCAAGATTTGAAGAGCGACGGAAATGACCACCCCTACGCATCCTAATTGTTTTTGGAAGGAAGGGAGAGGACGGAGGCTCGTCTTTGACTCCCCGTAGAACAAAACTATTGAAGATAAAGGTTTTGGGCAATAAAGAAACTAGTGAGGGAGAGCTAAGATCAGGCTCTTCTCGGGGGGAATGATCTTGCTGCACCGCCTGCTCCGGAACCGGAAGGGAGAGGACCCTCCTTCCGCTCTGCCAACGTCTGGACTCGGGTTATCTGCTTCTGAAATCGCACCACAAGAGTGAGGCTTTAATTGCCGTGAGGGGAGAGAGAGAGAGGTGGCGGGAGGGGGGGAGTACTGAGGAAGAGGATAAAACGGAGGTCACCGCCCAAACTTTGTCAGGTTGCGCCTCGTCTCCTGGGAACCAACAGAAGACTTCGTTTGCAAGCACTACGCACCCGCTTTGGGAAGTGGGTGCCGTTTGGAACGTTCTGCGGTCATAGACGAGGAATCACACGCTCATTTGGGCCATATTCATTCTTGATCAGACGGACACAGTGCTATGATCTCTCCGCCGCGGTGTGCCGCTTGGATGCCATGTGAGATAGGCCGCACAGTTCTCTCTCCTCAGCACGTCGCCAAATAACACGGACAGAGAGCTAGATGGATAGATATGTAGATAGACAGAGGGATAGACGGGTAGAGAGGTAGATATATAGAGAGAGAGAGAGATAGAACGAAAGAGAGAAAGAAAGGAGAGAGAGAGGTAGATCGATAGAGAGATAGAGAGAGAGAGAGAGAGATGAAGGTGAAGAGAGGGTGTCTCAGACAGTCAGAAGTTGAAGTCCATGGGTTCTCAGCGCTCGGTTCTGCCTCCCCCTCTCCATCTCACATACACAGGGGGGGGGGGCAATCTTCCAGACTCATAACTACCCTTTTGTTTATGGATTTCCGTAAAGAGACAGCGGATACAGCATTAACGAAGGCAGGAGAGAACAGCTGCTGTTGCAGGCGGTCGAGAGCCCTTCCCTCTCCTGTCGCTGCTGCGGCACTGAGTCATAATATTAAGAACAGACTGAGTCAGAGTGGCAGCGTCACCACCAGTGGCTGCCGCCTGACACGTGAGTGTACGTCACTGTTCAGGCAGCAACTTCCGCCGGATCAGATTTAGCTCATCGCCATTACTGGTTTCGTTTTTTTACTGAGCTGAGCTTCCCTGTGGGTTTCTGCATGCCCCAGGCGAGAAGATTCTGCATGTTCTCCGTTCGAGACTCCGGTCTCATTAGTTTTACTCACGAGCATTCATCACGCAGCCACCACTTTCCTCTGCCTGGCTCATAAATATGTCAGGAAGATAAGGACGCTCACCTCTCTCTCTCTCTCTCTCTCTCTCTCTCTCTGCTCTTCGCCTCTCCAAGAGGTTGTGGCGTTTCTGGAGGTGGGAGCGGAGATGATGAGCGGGAACAGCAGCAGGTGCCCGTTCACGGCATCGCAATGGCAGGAGCTGGAACACCAGGCCCTCATCTTCAAGTACATGGCCTCGGGGGCCCCGGTCCCCCAGGACCTCATCGGCCCCATAAGGAGGAGCTTGTGTCTGGAACCAGCCTCCACCTCTCCGATGCTCCTCTTCCATCACCAGCCCAACAGTTGTAACCTTTGGAATCCTCCTCTCTTTTCACTTTGATCTTATCAGTTTCTCACACTCAGGGTTTTGAATGGCAGTCGGATGGGGGTGCTTCCAGATGGGCTTCGGGAAGAAGGTGGAGGATCCAGAGCCGTGGAGATGCCGAAGGACAGACGGGAAGAAGTGGAGATGCTCCAAGGAGGCCTTCCCCGACTCCAAGTACTGCGAGAGGCACATGCACCGGGGGAAGAATCGTTCAAGAAAGCCTGTGGAAATCTCCATCGCCGCCACCTCCACATACGCCGCCGCCCCTACTTCTCCCTCTCTCCTCCCGGGTCACCACCTCTCCATGGTGACAGCCACAGAGGCCCAACATCTCCTGAACCCCTACGCTGCCTCCTCCAGAAGGCACGACTTCTTCAGGGACCCTTCTTCCTCGTCTGATGCGAACCGACATGGGATGAAGAGTCCTGTGGATCAGAGGGACGCCTGCTGGAGGTTCACCCCCCTGGGATTGAGCCCCCTCGGCGAGCGGCGCCAGAGGAGCTGCTCTTTCCTGCAACAGGACGGCGGCGCCGCCGCGCAGGAAGAGAAGCGGCGGCACTGCTTTGTTCTGGGGACCGACATCAGAGCGGAGAGGGGGAGCGAGGCCCCTCGGCCAGTTAGCTTCTTGTCCGAAGAGTGGTCTCGAAAGGCCAGGGATGAACAGGCCGGGTGGGGTGCCTTCCCCATGACCCAACTCTCCATCTCCATGGCCCACTACGACTTCCAGGTCGATAGCTCCCGCTCCGCCGCTGGAAACTGAATTGCTGAAAGGGTCGTGTTCTTTTTCTTCAGTAGACAGTATCCGAAGGTCACCTGAGATCCTATGTCGATCAGCTTGGAAGGATCTCCAGCTATTCTCTCGTTTCCGTTTCCCCTTTTATTTGTGTTGCACAATCGGGAGAGCAATAGCAGCAACATTTCGGGAAATCTCACAGAAAGGAGCCCCCTTGCCCTGACACCATTGATTCATGTGTTTCCATCCTCTGTTATGTCCCGCATCTCTCTCTCTCTCTCTCTCTCTCTCTCTCTACTGTGTTCACTTACCGCGGGTTAATGCCCGAATCCGACACCCACCCCGGTATTACAGAGTCTGCAACGGGCAGTGGACACAGGGGCCCTTCTACTCTAATGCCATGAACGGCGACTTCAGCTCTGGACGAGCATCGGATCCAAACCCGGACGGAATCCCGGCGCTGAATCTGTTTGAGACACGTGTTCGATGAGGTGCCTAAATCAAGTAAACGCACAGGCATCCGTACAAAAACCAGGGGAGCTTTGATCAAGAAGATTTGGACTTTTATAGAAAGTACGACTCCTATTAAGAAGATCTACTTGCTCTCTCTCTCTCTCTCCCTAGAAGGGTTATGTGGGCAGTCCCGTATGGGTTATGCCTACCTCCTCTCTCTCATCTTTCTCCTCCCTCCGGGGAGGTGCCGAATGGTGGGCTGGGTTAAGGCTTAGATTAGTATGTGGGGGAAGTAGGAAGGGGGGTTAATAATCGTAGCAGTAATATTTGTGTTCTCATAAATGAAATCACCCACCACAGAAGGAAGGTCTAGTCGTCGATGGCTCGCCACCCGCGGAAAGATCTCAATGAAAGGACTCCCAGGAAGTGTCATGTCAGTCAGACAACGGAGAGAGAAAGTGAGAACAGTAATGCGAAAGAGGCCATTCGGGTGACGATACTGGCTACTTGTCCCTACGCAAGGATTCCTTTGGAGGAAAAGACAGGTGAGCTTATGCCGCACTTCGACGAGCTTCTCGGCCACGCTCATCGTACGGCTCCCCAGCCGACGATCCCAGTGACCGGTGCCCAGAGAGGGATATCCCGTCTAAAAGACAAAGTAAACAAAAGGCCCTCTCTCTCTCTCTCTCTCCCTGTCGAAGAGACTGCCCACCTGTTGGTCCTGTTGGTCAGAGGAGCAGAGACAGGGCAGCTGATGGATTCGTCAGTGAAGGCTTCCGTATGGTCAACAAAGCACGGGGAGTAGCGGCAGTTGTGGTATCAGCGCGCAGTGGCTTGCAGGAGGATGAAAAAGAACGAAGAGTGTGAAGGGGGGAGGCCGTGTCGGAAGAGGGATGAGATATCTGATCCGCCTGTTCAGAGTAGGTCGGGCAACTGCGTCTCTCTCTCTCTCTCGCTATCTCTCTCTCTCTATCTATCTATCTATCTATCTATCTTGCGCTATCGTTCCTCCCACTCTTTTCTGTGACCATGAATATGTAAGGTTGGTGAAGACTCCCCCCTCTCGGTGATGAATCTAATGATATCGTATGGTAGTGTGATGAGTTAATATTAATGACCTCCTCGCTCACCGTGCTTTCTACTGGAGATACTCAAAGTCGTTGTAAGTAGGAAGTATTACGGCCCATTTCTCAATAGTGGATATTACCAGCAGCCCATTTTAATCGTTGACTTGAACGTTTCGCCAATGGGGGGTTAGCATAAGACCAATGGGCATCATAAGGACACAGTGTCGATGGTGACGACTACGGTGAGCTCAGCATTGCGTTGTCACGTCCCAAATTGCAAATTAATAGCTTCGGCTGATGTAAGGATTTGCTTAGTGTATTCTACACCCCCTCTTATAATATATATTTGGATTAATGATTACTTTTCTCATATTCTTTTTCCTGTACTGTCTAGTCTTAAGCATTATGCACTGTGGACAATATAATGTTACGCATAATGTTTCATTGGAGGGAGCTTAGCTTAGCACTCAACATTAGAAATCCTCAACACAACGTTACACACAAGTAGCTAGAAATAGATTTTGGATCACCACTATAAAATCTAAGAGAGCTTTTGAAAGTTGCAGTGGGGCATTTTCAACTGCATTATAAATGTACCCATTATATGGTACCAATGGAGGAACAATGATATTATTTAAAGTTTTCTTGACATTTAAGAGATACAAAGATTTCTGAAAGTCATCAACGTCTCTCTCCCTCTCTATCTCTCTCTATCTCTACACTCAACCGAAACAAATAAGATAACATTCCACATAAATCAGAATTTTTTTATGTTACAATTATATTTGAACACATTCTTGAAAATTTTCATCCTAGCTATTTGATTATAATGCATACATGTCATTTCAACATCCTCATGTATCTTAGAAGGACCATTCTTAGTTAACATAGAAAGACGAGTGTTACTAACTCTATTTTATTTCTATTTTGGTGTGCAAACTACGAAATGTTTTTTTATGTTAATGTGTTTGAGAAGGTATATTGTGCATTGGAAATATTCAATACATTAGAACTTACCTAGAAAGTTACTTAAAAGTTATAGTAAAAAGTGATATTTTTGATGCATACCAATGGCATTTTCAATATATGGGAATAAATTTAGTATGCCCAGACTACAATGTAGTATCTATTGTTAATTTATTCAAAATAATATGAAAAAATGTTTGTAAAAAACTTACATTTGATGACCTAAGTATGAAAGCTGCTATAAATATTTCATTGATTTTTATCTTTTTGCACTTTCGAACATAATATAGTTAATGAGATTACAACAAGGAATACATCAAACAAAGTAAAAGTAAAAAATTAGCAGGTGATAATGAAAGACAATGACATGATAACATGAGAGATTGGTGTCTAGATTTATGAATGGATGTGGAACTTACATCACAATTTTGATTATGGCTATTCTGTTTTATTATTCAACTTAAAATCTTTACACGTTACTAAATTGTCAAGACATTTTATATAAGACAAAGCTATTCAGGTGTATGTTGATTTTGCATATTGTATATGTATATATATATCTATATATATATATATATATATATATATATATTTGAGTTGAATGTGTTGCAACATCTCAAGGGATTATCAACACTATATTAGTTATTGATATTACTTTTCACAATTAAATGAGTAATTTTCTTAATAGACTGATTTGGTTCATAGTTTATCATATTGAGTTCATTTCGAGAAATATTTGGGCCTACATAATCTGCATTCCCATGACATAAAAATTAGGAAATGAATCAAAATTAGGCATAAATAATGTATTTTTCTTATCATTAAATAAACTTGTTATGATTAAAAGGATCTTTACTAGTTTAAAGCCTAGAAAAAAGATAAACCTTTAAATATCTCACTAAAATATCTTAAAGGATTTATAATGAAAAAATGTACAACGACAAATGACCATAAAGGTGATGTCAATGGTAGAAATGATATTTTTGAACTCTTAGTTATATTTAATATAATTTAATGGATGTCTCCAATAATAATTTCTAAAACCAATTCACCTATGCAGTTTTGGGCTCAAGTAACTAACAAATATTGATATATTTTTAACAAAATTTCAAATAAGACAATCTATGTTAATTTTCTACAACAAAAAAATATAATGTGATACATTATGATGAACTTTCGATAAATATTTCATGTAAGTAACAACTAAAAATACAATTTTAGATTTAGTGCTTAGAGAAATAAATCAATCGTTTATGGATAGATGAAACTAAGAAATACATCTTATACAATAGGACTTTTGATGTAACCGAGGTCTACACGTAAATCTCATTTTCAAAATGATGTTTTAGAAACTAAGTGATTACTCATAGAAATTGTTTTGCTAAAAAATAATTTGTGAGCTTTTAGTAATGGTTGTACTTTAGAGTAATCTAGAAATCTTAGAGTGGAGTAAAAAGTGGGAACTAGTTGAGGCCATCTCCACTAAAGAATTTAAAGAGCAATCTAGAATTTTTTTGGTTAATAAGTGACTATCCCAATGCAGCTTAGTCACTATTCAATAAAAGCTACAAGATTTGAACATAAGTTGTTATGACCTTATGTTGAGGGGATTTTGAATTCAAGTGTCTAAATCTCTCATATCAAATTTGAATTTAAGACAATATCAAATTCATTGATAAATAAATTTTTAGATTCCATATGAAATATTTATTTTGAATTTTTTTGAAATATATACTATTGGAAAACGTTTTTGTACATGTCTATACAGTGATAAGCTAATTTATTCTGATGTATTAACATTTTCTTTTCTGTGAATAATTTTCTCTTTAGTATAAGTAAAGTGCTTGTTTTAGAGCTTATGATAGGAATCAAGAGAGGGAATGAATCACTCTTTCATACTTTTTACATAACTTCTGATTTCTTACATCGGTGGGACCCAAGGTTTATAGTGGTTCAACACACTATTCCTACTTTACTATCTACATAACATGTCCTTGGGTTCTACTAACTCTTGCTAGTATAAATTGCAAAACATCAAGGCTTTATCCACCATCTAGTAGATTTAATGTCTCTAATCGACCCTATTATTCCCTAAAATACTTCTTATAGATTCTTGGATTTAGGTAGCTATATCATGAATGGGGCTAAGTTAGATCAGTGATGTAACCCATTTGTTTGCATCAATTAATACCTAGTTATCTTATATAAATTGAAAATTTTAGATAGTGAAATTAAAATGATACATAATTAATCTCTTATAGATTCATGACTCTAAGTCAGCTCAAGTATATTATTTGAATTTCGGTATATGTGCATGTGTTTGGAGCTGCTGAAGCCTCCTTTGATGTAGAATCACTTTAAACACTTGGTAATTGAATTAAAGTATTGTAGAATGTGGAATCTTCCTTTAAATATTGGAAGGGTTTATCCTTCTTTGGCAAAGCTTCTCTGACTTTAGGTTGATACTTTCAAAAGTTGATCTTGAATTTTTGTTTTCATTGGATATTTGTGAGCTCCCAAGTAATGACTTCATGGTACTAT